GGCGGGGGGGGGATATCCCCACAAAGCTACCTCCTTCCCACCCCCCCCCCGGAATCCGAAAGGTGGCTTCCAGAGATAACCCGTCCCCCCAAAAGAACCCAAGCTCTCCGGGTACCGGAGGGGATCGGGACATCCCTAGCAATCCAATTCCACGGCAAAACAACGCCCCCGGGCCAAGAAACCCAAGGGAATGGGATCGCCCCCGGGGGCCCTTCCCCTACCTGGGAAACTAGCGCGCCTGGGGGAAATCCAAAGGCAAAAAAAGAGGAAGGGCAAAAGGGGGGGTGAGGAGGAGGGGGGGAAGGAAAAAGGGGAGGATGGGGGAGGATGGGATGGGGGAGGGAGAATGGGGGTAATTGGGTTTGGGCTGGGGAAGAAGCCCGCAGGGCAAATTTCCCTCAGACCAAGAGCCTCTTCCCCACCCCCAAGGACCCCCCCCTTGAAGAGGTAAACCAAAAGGATAAGGGTGTTAGAGCGGTGAGTCGGGGGAATTTCTGCATGCTCGCTGGTAAATAGGCGTCCAATAGAAGTATATGGATAAATATAAAAATTTTATAAAATACAAAGGGTTGTTAGTAAACATATGCAACAGTTAGGTATTTTAAAATAAAGATCCAATGTTGCATATTCTTATCTAACAGAAAAAATGGAATGTAGAAAAGGGTCAGAAACTAACAAGTTGACGAATTAGACAGTGCAACATTTGGTATCTTTATTGGGGATTAAGATCCCCAAGTGTTCATGTGTGTGTGAAAATTCTCAATAACATATATGGTGGGGGAAAAAAAAAAAGGATTGCAGTATACATTCACCCAAAGAACTGATACAATTTTTTCACTGTGAATGTCTGGAGAAAAAAAAGGATAATAAAAATCATTTTATAAATATCAATTTGGGGGGTTACCCAAATTCTGTACAAAGAAAGAAATAAGATTTTTAATTTTTACAGTAATTGGCATTTTTATAGTTGACATTACTTGGCAAGTTGAAATTTACCCCTTTTTTTTTAAAATGTTTAAATTTTTATTCTTCGATTTTTCGCCGAAAAAAAATACGAAAACACAGTTTTAAACAAAATTTTACACGAACACTTTTTTCGTATAAACTAGCAAATTTTTTATTTACAAATCTTATGGAATCATCACTAATGAATGTTTTAAAAGATTTCAATTTCAAAACATCTTTAGCCATAATGACGTCAACTTTGCACCTAAAAGACAACTGCACATTAAAAACCAATAAAACGATAAACAGAGTTTGTATGCTATCAAAAAGGGACGACATGGTTAAGTCAATAGCTAATTATTTTTAAAACTATCTTACCCTCAAAAAATGTGAAACAAAGTAACTGATATCCTGACAAACAAATTTTTAGAAATTAAGAGGCTATCATGAAGCAGCACAAAAATGTGTAATTTTGGGGTATGTTTAAAACAAAAATAAGAAAGGGCACACGTCTCGTTATGCTTTTAGTGTCTATTTTCCTAAAATAAAGAACATTCCCAAAAAAAAAAATTTCATTGCCAATATATCGATACAGTAAATTTTTAGTTCAGCAAAACCTCAGTACTGTGCAAAAGTGCACTATATATTTTTTAGGAGTATAAATTGTAAATTAGTAGTTTTTGTGCACATTTTGGTAAAAGGTGCAGATCAAACACTGAACACAAGTCTCCAAGTTCACAGCACAAAATACGCATTCATATTATTACATCATTTTAATATAATCTGTCCAACAAACACTGCCACTGACTGATCTTAACTACAGTACATAATTCCTTTCAAATTCAAATTATTTTTAAATGATACAAATGGACAGAATCTAATCCTGTACCTAAAAGAATCCACTGTTGTACCAGTCAAATTTTATATTATCATATAGGAAATACAGTACAACTTTTCCATACTGCAGAAGTCCAAGAGTACTGAAATTTCATGACTTTTTGATGACTTGCTAGGTTCTTTAAGAAAAAACACCAACACAAATCTCTACATCATGTTAGCTCTATCACTACAATAAAGGAATTCAGAATTGCTTAAAAAAAGAGGATGAGGGAAGGGCTAAAGAAATGTGGGTCAAATACAGGCATTCCAAACAACAGAAATTGTCCTAAATACACAGGTGTGCACATGTAAGGGAAACAACACGAGGGATAAAATGATAAGTAAAATTATTTTAAAAAATTAAAAAGAAATGTACCATTGAATATAATATACAGTATGTTATCAACAGCCATTTGTCAATGTTGTGGAATTAGTTTTGTTAGCCACTCATACCAATAATGCAGAAGTTTAATGCTTGACACTGACTGAAGTGAAACAGGCACAGCACTATCCCACTCAGCTGAAAGACAACTTTAGTGACAATGAAGCAAAAGAAAAATTTCATTGCATCAATGCAATTATAAATGTACAGTACTTTTGTTTATCATTACTCAGTGTTCCCAACAGCATTAACAATTGGGGTATATATGATGACATCACAGTCTATGCAAAGATTTGAAAAACTGTCTAGAATCCCTGACTTGCCAGATAAAAGAGGCTCCTACTTCCATCCTTCAAGGAACAAACTAAATTAAGAAGGGGAAGATCTACTTAATTCATTACATAAAATTTAGATCTTAAATGTTTTAGTAGTCACTGAATAACTGAAAAATTAAAGCCACACATGCCTCAATTTACTTGCCATCAATGCCCACGAAGTCACTATAGAGTATACCCGACTTAAAGGGCATAAATAATGTGCAAGAGAACGTACATTCTTTAATAAATTTGTATGGCTTAAATTATAACAGCAACCGATATATCTAAACAAGAATCTCTTAAATTTGATCATTTTTATAGTAGGTACTACAGATCATAAATTAAGTACCTCCCTGAGGAACAGTTCCCTAGTTTTTCAGAAACACTAGATTATCGCAGTTTTTTAGGGTACTTTTACCATATTCCTCCTTAGCAGTGTATATTTAAAAGCTGAATCAAGTAAGACATCCAGACAATATTGAATGCAGAATAATCGAATGCTAAATAATAAATGATCTACTGTACCACATCTGTCATTCTGATCTTCCAAATAAAATAAAGAACATTAATACCTCATCTGATTATGGTGCACACATACCATTCTAAAATACTTTGCAATATATCTCCCTCAGAGGTATATACAAGGTACTACATATTTTACTGCTTCTGATCAAGTGAAAATGACTGTTCAAATATATTTGAGCAAACTTTGAAACCACACATGCACAATGATGATCATGTTTTAAAACCATTAGTGGCAGCCATCTTTGCCATCAAACTGCTTAAATCACAAAATTTTGAAGATAGTAAAAAGTTCCCAACTCAATGGAGGAGGAGGAGGAGGAGGAGGAGGAGGAGGAGTTTACCTGGAGTTTACCTGGAGAGTGTTCCGGGGGTCAACGCCCCTGCGGCCCGGTCTGTGACCAGGCCAGGAGGAGAAAAAAAAAAAAAAAAATTAAGGTATTGATGCTATAACAGATCTATGTTAATAAAATTTACAAATTAACTATGCTATCACCCATACACAGAATATAACATTAAAAGTGAATTTACAATAAATATGAGTACGGTATAGAAATTCTGAATTGGATAAAATGTTTTTTGCATGACTGATGCTCACCAGGTACCTTAAAAGTCATACAGGAAAGAAATTTCCACTGCCACTGCTGCTGGCCTCTCAGCCCTAGTGAAAACATACTTACCTACATATTTCCAACTTTCCTGTAAAAAAAAATATATACAATAGATAAGAACTAAGAGTACTTGACTCAAAATTATTTTAAAAAATTATACAAATTAGTTCACACAACCAATTTTTTTGTAGTTTGTATCCATATCCTTGCATGAGCAAGTACTTTCATGCTTAATGTGCACAGATGCATGCAGTAATGTGTATATACTGTACATGTATGCATGAATATGTACATATATGAATGCAATCAATTGCTGAAATGAAACAAGTTTGTTAATATTCATCATGGATGCTTGTACAAATAATTCAAAGGTTTGCAATAAAAAACTAATCTTGCCATTTTATACTGAACATATTTATCAGTTCAAACTATAAAACTTGCCTCCTTACAGTTGTGCATTACCCCTCTAACATCTGGCCCAAGACTGAAGTACTATATTAGCTTGATGCAAGTTATAGGAAATTTTACATATAGGTATTAGGATAAAATGTGCAGAAATCCATGATTTTGAACAGTGATCTTCCTACTACAAAAATATCCAATGTTTGACTTAAAATATAATAGTCATTGTGCCCTGTTTTACATCAAAATTTTGTACCTTAAGTGGAAAAATGACACTTCTATAGTAATTCTTTCACCAACAAAGCTACCACCACAAAAAATTAAAGTTACATGAATTTCTTAATGCCATAATATAAAGACAAAATTACGTGAGCTGCAAGTGATGGCATGGTGGCCATACAGGATTTATACAAATCAGAACAATTTCATGAAGCTACTGTTGTGGCAAATATGAATAAGCATTTAAGTCTTTTCTAGTTCTTCCCCAAATAAGTATTTAAATGAATTACAGGAGTCTAGGCTTCAGTATAAACATAATTAAGTTTTTCTTACACAAACTGCTGTCTATTGACTACAGTGCTCATATATGATTACCATTCACAACTAATTCACATTTAAGGGGGGAAACTTTTAGATGACTCACAAAATCGTAATGACACGATTGCAAACAAACCATACCACAGGTGGGGTTTGAACCCGCGGTCACTTCAAGTCTCGACTAAATACATTATCTGAAAACTAAAGCCATGTCATCCAAACTTCCCTCTCTCAATTACTTTAGCAGTGAACTGTTACAACCATGGTACTGATACTTTTCTTGTTTATATTTACCAGTCTGAATAAATTCCTATGACTAAGCAGCTAACACCCCATCTTAAAAGTAGCTTCAAAACTAGTAACTAAAGCAACCATAACTGGATATAGCTCAATGAACCAGAATGTGCCATTTGTAATCTTCTAGTTGTGTACGGTCCTACTGTGACCTGAACATTGGACTCGATGTTTATTTCTGCAGTTTCTTAGTGATATCAATCTTACTAGCAAAATATGATCTTTTACCAAAGTAGATTACTCAAGGCCTTCACATCCTGATGAGTAACCATTCTCTCTCTCTCTGGGTGAGCAATATGATATATTAGTGTTCTTATTACGCCAGTAATTGTTTCCAGTAATGCCTACCGATGGAATCTTTCTTTTGCACGTTATTTACATGGTCAATCATACAAAGCAAAAACACAATATACTGAAAAAATAAATACACAATATAAGTTATTTCTCATTAAAACCAGCTGCAATATGTAATAAATCTAAATGACTGCATATTTTTGGTATAAAATTATACAAGCCCAAACAAAGCAACCTAGTTTACAACCTTGTACTAAATAATTTTGTACAAAATTGGATGGATTAACAGAAAAATTTAGTAATATATATATATTAATACCGGGTATGTTCACAGTCTGGCACCTGTGAAACATGAACAAAAATATTTCTTATGAACATCTCCCAAAATCTCTACGGATGTCGGATGTCTGCCTCCTAAAATCTCTACAGATGTCTGCCTCCCAAAAATCTCTGCGGATGTCTGCTGCCCAAAAATCTCTACGGATGACTGCTGCCCAAAAATCTCTACGGATGTGTCTCCCAAAATCTCTACGAATGTCTGTCTCCCAAAAGCTCTACACATTACTGAATCAACATACACAATGTTAGGGACAAAAGTAAAAAATTCCCAGAGGCAGGCAATAACCAGTAACAACATTTTTGCTAAAGAACATATTGATTATAAATGGATTCCCTCCATACAACTTGATAGCAATAAATGGTTATCTCTAATCTGTGTGGGCACTTGGTTTCCATACCTAAATTCTATAATGTATGCTAAAGCATATAGCACAACCATTTGCTACATGCCAGACATTATATTTCAAAATGCTCTCAACAAGCAAGAAGCTTAAATAACTGCTTTGTATGGACTAACATAACTAGATATGGAATGGTTACAAATAAATATACATGTTAGAAACTGACTACAGCTGACAGGAATTATTATATGTGGGGGGGGGGACGCTAAACCTGTAGGGGGGTCACATAGCGCCTGCGAAAGAGGAGAAAATCAGGTTTGATCCAAGAAGGGAAGGACAAAGTCCAGTTTCTTAGAGCAGGAGCCCCTCACCAGCATCAAGGAACCTCCCTTGAGGGGAAGTTGACATGAATCCTAACACTGATTAAGACAACTATTTCTTTCAGTGAATGATTAAACTTACAACTAAAAACTGTGCAAAGAATAATCCTTTACACACAGGAGAAAATGCCACAATATCTTCATTTAAGATTTACCAAGAATGTCAAGAAATTTGCATCAGTAACGTAAATTGCTTTAGAAAGAATATTAGCATCAATAGTGCGATTTTTCAAGCAGCAACCTGAAGCTGAGATGCATTTTACCTTCATCATCTAATTATTTCTTAAAGGCAACCCTAATCACATTGCAAATGAATCTTATATGGAATTAGTTTTAAAATCTGTACAATTCTTTAACCTATGATTTGCCTTAATGCATTTGATAAAATATGTCTACCAAATTTTGCTTCTTTTACTGTTCATATAGCAGTATGATTTATACATGCTGTAGCAAACAGATTTACTTTTATATTATTTATATTTATTAACACATCGGCCATTTCCCACCAAAGTAATGTGGCCTGAAAAAGAAAAACTTTCACCATCATTCACTCCATCACTGTCTTGCCAGAGGTGCACTTGCACTACAGTTATAAAACTGCATCATTAACACCCCTCCTTCAGAGTGCAGGCACTGTACTTCCTATCTCCAGGACTCAAGTCCGGCCTGCTGGTTTCCCTGAATCCCTTCACAAATGTTACCTTGCTCACACTCCAACAGCATGTCAAGTTCTAAAAACCATTTGTCTCCATTTGCTCCTATCTAACACACACACACATGCTTGCTGGAAGTCCAAGCCCCTCACACAAAAAGCCTCCTTCACCCCCTCACTCCAACCTTTCTTAGACCGACCTCTACCCCGCCTTCCCTCCACTACAGATTTATGCACTCTCAAAGTCATTCTATTTTGCTTCATCCTCTACATGTCCAAACCACCTCAACAACCCCTCCTCAGCCCTCTGGATAAGTTTTGGTAATCCCACATCTCCTAATTTCCAAACTACGAATTCTCTGCATTATATTCACACCACACATTGCCCTCAGACACAACATCTCCACTTCCTCCAGCCTTCTCCTTGTTGCAACATTCACCACCCATGCTTCGCACCCATATATGAGCGTAGGTATAACTATGCTCTCATACATTCCCCTCTTTGCTTCCATGGACAAAGTTCTTTGTCTCCACAGACTCCTCAGTGCACCACACTTCACAAAATTCATACTTGATATGAAGCAATTTTGTGTATAAACAAATGTGGTTTCTAATTTTTATGCAAGCATCTGATTTAAAGTTTAACAAAAATCTTCAAAAATAAAATAAAAAATCAATTAGTCATTTTCAAGAATACTAACCAATTTGTGCCCAAAAAAAGTGGTCCCTACATTAAGATAAAGTTTTGTGAGTAAGGCAGTTAGCTACATATCTATGTTTACCCAACATTACTGCATTTATGAAATACCAGATTGATTAACTCTAGGTGAAAAATAATATGACTGCTTGAAATATCTTCACCATGTTGAAAATGTTATTGGTGTAGATGACAGTTGTCAGCATCAAACAGGTTTTTACCTGATACAGTTGGTTTCTATGTTAAAAATCATGAAGTAATTATAGCAGTTTCTCAAAGTATCACATACAATTAACATTTTCAATAAGTACCATGTGACAATATAATAATGGCATATAACTTAAAATGCTCCCTGAAAAAAGTTTTAAATTTTGCAAATAAATGGCTGAGTTTTTACAAACAAAAGGCAATTAATATCAGTAGAGAATATTTTTTCATAATATAGACTTGGAACAAAAACTTGTAAGAAAAATTACCAGGAACAGTTAAATCTAAACACAAAACCTCATTCATGACTGAAATATTAGAGGGTAGATCAGCCTTATTCCTACAGCATATACCTGATCATTGTAACCATTTAAAGCTTGTGATACTTTTTCAGTAATGTGATTATCAGTGAACGGTTCTCATTCTTATGAAAGGACTATGCAAAAGTTTAGTTCTCCTTAGTTATATCTACAGACTGGACCGGACAATTACTGCAAAAGCCAATTAAAAATCATTTGAAGAAACCCTGGGTACCTCCGAGGAAATTCAGCATGCAAAGAACACCTTTTACTCAGTTCACTTCTGGAAACCCTTAAAGAAGCATCCAGGGTCTAAATGTTTACTAAAGGCAAACTGACATTTGATAATGTTTTCCATTTAATCATTTTATATCAGAGTCAAAATGCATACTCACAGTCAGGTCTGATTATATAAAAACCTTAGATAAGGAAAATCTTGTAAAAGCACTTGCAGTTATTCCAAATAAGGTTTAGTGTTGTATAGCCCATTGAATAGGTAAACTCTTCTGTTATAGTACTTTCACAAGCTATGCAAGTTTCCACAGGCTATTTATTTTTGATAGGAGATTCTTCAATTAATAAAATTTGGTGCAAAACAAACACTGGTAGTTTGAATGAGCCTTTTTTTTTTTTTAATTCACTACTTTAAATCTTGAATTTTGTACAATATAAGAGATTTTAATTTTGCATTGATACAGTATTATAATAAATATCAACCTAATATAAACTAGATCTTTAAGAGTTGAGGTTAACTCTGAATCAAGGAAGCAACACACCTTAAAAATGGGTAGTTGAAAGTTTTAAATAAACAATTGTTTCAAATAAAATGCAGTAACCATTTCCTTAACAGATTTTATGCTCTGAAATCTAAGTCACAGACCTGTGAGCAACATTGTAACTAACACACTTGGGTGGCTGTGTCATGGTGCACAACACACATTGGATTTACTGGGAAAAAAAAAAAAAAAATTGCTACAACTTTTGATAAGTATAGGGCCAATATAATAATAGCTCTGTTATTCAACAACAGAAGCCTACCTCTTTGTATAAGACTACTTGATTCTTGAACTTTTAAAATTTCAGATGCAGGTATATTAACCCTATAGAACAAATGCTTATGAAAATCCAATTAAAGTTTTGAACACTTTAGATACAGCTATATTGATACGTATAATAGATTAACTGCTTCTGAAAAAAAAAAAACATGTAATTCCAATATTTCTTTGCCATTTTTTAACATTTACCTTATGAAATTTGCAGGTCAAACACTACCAAATCATGGGTGTAGTACTTTCAAATACTGTAATTCAATGTATTTCAGAAGCAATTACATTCAACCTACATATGAATTTTAATTATAAAATTGGCATTTCAGTTTTTGAGAGAATAAGCTTCCTAGTCTTGTTTTTTTTTTTTTTTTTGTAATTAAACACACATAAAAATCCAAAACCTATAAGTCGGAAGTTTCCGAGACAGAATCATCGGCAAAGTAGAACTCGTCAGCCAAATCTTCCAGTTCCAGTTCCAACAGCAAAGTTTGAATTGAGCCTCGAAGCAACTCCAGACGATGTTCTCGCTCTTCAATAAAATCCCATAGCACCATATTCTGGTAATAAAATTTTTAATTAATTTAAAGGCATATTCATGAAATTAAGCTAGGATGACAAATATGGCTACAGTACAGTATGTGAATAAATCTAACACTCTCATGGTTTAACATGGCCCACCCAAATTTATGAAAAGGCTTACAGAATCACCAAAAGAATATCTGATATGCTTGATATTTGTTATATCCTCGAAATAGCAACTGTATTGGTGTTAAGTACCTATTTACCTTTATAGAAAGGAGGAGGATGATATATCAAAAGTAAGAGCTAAACCTTCACAGATCATACAGCACTGCAGTGGTGGGTGTGTGCAAAAAAAATAATGTGCAAAATAAACTTGTAGGATTCAAAAATGTTTTCAAGTTAGTAATAGAGATAGAACAATACCAAATTTTTTTTTTCCAATACTAATACCAATACTCTATTTAAGGCCGGATGCCCTCAAATTAGCCCAAAACGATAGATACCATACTACCATCAAATACCAATACACATCAATACCTGTATGTTTCAGTCTTTGGGCATAGATATCGTCAAAATTTGTTTATACCACCAAACTTTGGCAACCCAGTTAAAATTTTTTTTTTTTTATTTTTTTACCCCCCTGGCGATTCCCCACCAAGGAGGGGGCCCCAAAAAGAAAAATTTACCACATTACTCCATCACTGTTTCCAGAAGGGTGTTTACACTACAAAATTTTTAAACTGCAACATTAAAACCCCCCCCTTAGAGTGAGGCACTGACTTCCCCTCTCCGGACTCAAGTCGGCCTGCCGGGTTTTCCCTTAACCCCTTCATAAAGTTTCTTTGCTCACACTCCAAAAGTACATCAAGTATTAAAACCCTTTCAGGGGTCCAAGGGCCCAAAATCTGAAGTGGTCTCCTTTTCCAAAAATTTTTGGAAAAAAAAAAAAAAAAAAAAAAAAAAAAAAAAAAAAAAAAAAAAAAAAAAAAAAAAAAAAAAAAAAAATATATATCTTTTTCTTCTTACAGAATTAAAGAGCATATTTTTGTGAAGGTAATAAGACAAAAAAAAAAATCTGATCAGTACTTACCGAGATACAGTGCCAAGAAGTTTGTCAAAAATGATGTGGTGGCGCAACATCGACGAATTCCACATACGCGCATACATTATTTGTGGTTTTAGTTGTTTTTTCTTTTCTTTTCCAATTTTTTTCTATTCCACTAACATTTGGTGCCTGAGAGACCAATACTGTATATAATGTACATATATAAACTCACTGTATTGAACACAATAACCACCTAAGTTATTATCATATTATTGTTTACCATGTTGTTTATTACAATAAACATGCACAAATATTGTATAATACTAATGTTCTGTATATATTTACATATTTACAATCACTGGACATGGTTTTAAAAACTGCTGGAGCTGTGGAACTCCTGAAACAAGGCACCATGCACAGGGCACCTTACATTCCTCACACAAACCGAGTGTCTTTGCGTCTTTGTTGCGTCGTTTTGTTTGTGCACAGACATGCATCTCTTTGAGCAAATTTCTTCTTAGTTGAAGGAAGCTGTATTATGAAATGATCACCTTCTCTCCTCAAACGCTTGGGTATATCCTGAGGAATTCGAGGACCATGTTGTATAGCAGGTGTTGTTACCTGTACTTCATTATGAGTTGTCTGACAACAGACAAACAAAATTCACCATACGGTGGTCTGTTGCCATTCTTTATTTGGTACATATTATATGCATTGAGCATTGAAGTGTCCATGAGATGGAAGAAAAGTTTATGTACCACTTGTAACTCTTACGAACACAGTCAACAAAACCAATCTGCATGTCACACTTGTCAACCAAGCGCATGTTTTTGTGTATAATCAATCACTGACACTGGTTTCGAATACGTTCATTAGTCACTCGTCAACTTTGCCACTGTCTTGCATTTCATTACGGTGAATGGTTGTCAACAATGTGACATCTCGTTTGTCATGCCACTGTAATGCCATGATGTCATTGGCAGTAAACACCTGCACGTCATCACCACGAGCACCTGCGTTGAGCCTGGGCATATGTTTACGATTAGAACGCACTGTGCCACACACATCTGTCTTGTTCACTCGCATGAAATCACTGAGTAATGGGCTTGTGTACCAGTTATCGGTATATAATGTATGCCCCTTACCAAGATAAGGTGCCATCATGTTTCTCACTACGTCACCATGAGATACCCAATAACATCTTGGTATCTTTCAATGTTTTACTACCCGTGTTATACAACAATATCCAACACCAGGCCACTGTCACAATCACAGAGTACAAACAGTTTTATACCAAAGCGTTTCCTCTTGCTCGGTATATACTGCTTGAATGACAGTCTACCTTTGAACAAAATCAAAGAACTCGTCAATTACAAGATTCTTGAAGGGGATAAAAGTATATGCTGAACTTTTGTTTGAGATACATGAAAACATTTCTAATCTTGTATAACCTGTCACTTCTGTCAGGCCTGGTTTTGTCAGAGAAGTGCAACATACGTAAGAGTAAGATAAACCTGTTCACTGGTATGATTTCACTGAAGACCGGGGTAGAAATTAGCCGATCTGTGGACCAGTATGCTTTTATATTATGCTTATAGACGTGAGGCATAAGCATTATTGTTGCAAAAAGCAAATACATTTCTGCAACAATCGTCTCTTTCCACCTGTGTAGTCTTGACTGTGGTGATAAGATCGTATTTGCCATGGTGTACTCAAAATACTTATTACTTTCCCTGACAATAATTTCCATCAATGGCTTGTCAAAGAATAATTCAAAGAATTCCAGTTCATTGCCCGTGGTTCCAAGGGGACAAGTACGTAGAATTCCACTTTGAGAATCATCAAAGTGGTGAGGCTTGGGAACAAATTTGGGATTTTGCTGCCAATCCCACATACGGTTTGCTGGTGGATACTGGACATCATAGGCTGGTTGTGCGGGTGGTTGTGGTGGGCTGGTGGCTGGCGTTCCGCTTTGTCCTTGAACTGACGAGTCAGCAGCGTGGGTCCCAGCGTGGCCTCGTGAGTCACGCATGGCGGTGCCACTACCATCACCACTAACACCATCCACTGATGCCTGTGGTCTATCCATGCCAAGTGTAGCCACATCATCCTCACTATCACTACCTAAAACTGGTGTTGGGCCACGGGATGTACTCCGGCATGTACTCCGTCCCCTGGGCACAGCATAGGGTACACTACCTGAGTGCATGCAGCGGCGAACATACCGACGCTTCACTGGTGAATATGATTCCTCACTATCACTACTCGATTGATCGTCGAGCGCAATAAAATCACAGTCCACGTCACTATCATCATCATTACTGAAGTCAGAGGCCTGGCCACGCGAAAATATTAGTTTTCTCTTGCGATGAGGAACAGAACCGACCGTGAGTCACGAGTGCCCACACCAGAGGTAGAAGGTTGAGGATCGTCAGGGTTTTCTGCACTATTATCGATATCCTGGTCATTCTTTTCGGTCACTAACTGATCAAAGCCGTAGAATTCGTCTTCATTTCCACTTCCATCAGTGTCAGAACTATCAGATAGGAAGAGGAGAGTCCCAATTTTCCGGGGAGTGAGAGCTGACTTGCGACGAGGCATGGTGAACAAGGGTAACTGAGCCGGCGTTCCCACAATGCTATGCGGGCGCCTAGATTTTTTGTTTATGGCGCACACCCACCACGCAGACCCGTTCTCTCACATGTAGGCCTATGAGCGTTTTCGCGCTAAATTTGACGGCGCTAGAATTTTGGCGTTGATCTACGGTTTGGACACAACGTAAAGCCGTTGATCAATGGGACGAACCCTGAAAGGGTTAAAAACCATTTGTCTCCATTCACTCCTATCAAACACGCTCACGCATGCCTGCTGGAAGTCCAAGCCCCTCGCACACAAAACCTCCTTTACCCCCTCCCTCCAACCTTTCCTAGGCCGACCCCTACCCCGCCTTCCTTCCACTACAGACTGATACACTCTTGAAGTCATTCTGTTTCGCTCCATTCTCTCTACATGTCCGAACCACCTCAACAACCCTTCCTCAGCCCTCTGGACAACAGTTTTGGTAATCCCGCACCTCCTCCTAACTTCCAAACTACAAGAACAGTCACATACCCTACTCCCTCTGGGAATCTAGAGTCATTAGTGTCCAGATGTTGATTTAAAATTGCCTAATAAAAAGTGCACCGTAGGTAAGAATGATAAGTTTTGCAAACCAGATGCAGTACAAATTCGGATGTACAGGAGAGATACATATAAAGAACAGATTGTGCACCACTTATTCAAGTAGATGCATGATGCGGTGTAGTGACATCGGCTATCACTGGAAATTAGAGCTGGGCTATCACTGCACATAAGTTGTTTTTGCTTTAGGCCTTGTCAAGATAAGGGTCGAGAGACTGGTGGAGACAGTGGCAAGCTGCTGAGTGTTGGTGAAAGACACCTAGTCTTGCAGGACCTATTGTACCTGGTCTTAAAACTATGTATGGGGTCAGCCTCCACCACTTAAAGGTCAATCCACTTCTCAACAACCCAGTGACTGAAAAAATACTTCTGACATCCCAGTGACTTGTGTCTAGCCTCCAGCTATGCCCCTCGAGTATCCATATCCTGCATCTCAAACAGCCCATCTATTTACCTTATTAATTCCTCCGAGTATATGTCATATTTAGTCTTCCCTGACCTTTCTCTCCTCCAGTGCTGTTAGATTAAATTCTGTGTGGTAGCTCGAGTGTCATTAGAAAAATGGTGGAAGTGGTTGCAAGTGTAGAGGGTTAAGAAGTGCTCACAGGTAAGAAGGAAATTGTCTAAGTCAAGAGCTGTGTAATATAGTTAGCTTATGATGATTATTCTGTGGGGCTTTTTTGTTTAAAGTTAGCTTAGTCAAGGTTTCTTTACCTATATCTTCTAGATATGCTGATATGGCCTCAATTGTCTGACTGGTCAAAGAAGCTGGAGACCATGTGATGGGAGGGATGAAATGGGAGGAGGTTGGGATAGAAGAATAGGTACATCACTGGATGGTAAAGGAAGTGTAAACAGATTCAGTGTCTTGGGGAATGTGGAAGTTTGTAGGAAAAGGGCTGACTCCATGCATCTGGGGAATGGGGTAGGAGAGAAGTGTGGGGAAAATGTATTTCTGTAACAGACTTAGGTGTAGAAAGGATCAGGGTGAGAGTTCAAGATGTAATATGCATAAAATGAGGTTGTGTGGAGAGGGGTCGAATGCAGATGCAACTACTTATTTACATCTTAAGTATCTTTTACTACTTACATCAAGATACAACTGTAATTCTCCATCTGCTGTGAATCGATGGCGACGTCTCGGAGGACCAACATCCTTCTTAGTGCCATCAGGGAGAGCGTGAAGGTAGAAACACTTATTGCCAAATGGACACTGTCCCTCCCCTTGCTTGAAGTACTTGCAAGGTTTAGCACTGCAATAAACCATATCAAAAATTCTAATATGAACACTTAGGACAACTAATATATCACCTACACAATATTTAACCATATTCTACCTTGGTAGAAAATAGCCGAGATGAACACAAATGCCCCCTTTTCAATAACCCAAAATGTGACTATCCTAAAAAGCGGGCAAGATATTTTTAAACTCTTCCAAACCCCCCAAGACAACGGGGTTCAAAAATTTGGTTTTATTAAGAAAAAAAGGAATGATAGTCAAGGCTAGAAATTAATCCCACTAATGCAAGTACAAGGACCAAAAACATTTGAACATTTATCTCAAGTTATAACCAAAAATACCCCACATCTCATTTTTGTTTTAACATATGCACACTTTAAAAAAATTGATAAATTGTCCTGGGGTTGGAAAAGAACTTTCCTCCGTAAGCCAGCTTCGTATGAGGCCTAAAACCGGGAGAAATGGGCTAGTAACCCCTTCCCTTAACATTTACTAAAAAAGGAAGAAAACTTTATAAAACGGGGATGCTTGAATGGGGGGGATTAGTGCAGAAAAGAAACAACTTTGCTGATGTTATGAAAAAAAAAAGTTGGATGCCGGCCCTAAGAAAACAAGCAAAGGGGTGGGGAGTTTCATGGGGGGGAAATAAAGGGTTTAAAAATTTGGGGAGTATCTAGAGATTTAAGCAAAGGAAGGGGAGCGTAAGTTAAAGGATCAGTATGGAAGGAAAAAAAGAAAGAATTTTAAATTCAAGAATTATGTGATTAAAGAAAAGGGTGGATGAAAAAAGGGGGTCATAAAACGTGTAGCACCGGGAGAAAGAGGATGTAGAGAGAGAGAGAGAGGAGAGAGAGAGAAGAGATAAAGATTTTGGGAGATTTTAAGTGAATGTAGGGGGCCTTTGAACCAAGTGAGAGAGTAATTGTGGAGGGGATCTGAAGCTAAAGAGGAGAAACTTTTAGAGGGGTGTGGTAGGAAATTTTTGGGGTGCCGGGTGTAAAGATAATGGGAGCCCTTTATTGAACTTGTATAGAAAGGGTTTAGTTATTTATACTTTTTTTAAAAAAAAAGGGGAAAAAGTATACAAGATAGAGTAGGGAAAATGACATATTTTTTGGGGATTATGTTTTGGTAGATAAAAGACTTTTTAGAACTTCGGATGAACATTTTTAAAAGGGGGGCCACAGAATATCAGACCCTTTTTCCCCAGTTGACACACTAAAGAAAAAGGAGATGGAAAACAAGGAGAAAGAAACATCAGGAAGAGAGAAAAGGGTTTATAAACTAAAAAGGGGCAGTTAGGGAAAGATAAAAACAGCATTGGGGATAGATGGCTAATGAGGATGGGAAAAGGGGGGTCAAAGAGGTAGGGGGTGGGTTTTAAAAAAAAGTAGGAAAAGCGTTTTCAGCAGAATTTGGGTTACCCCGGAAAGTGGGTCGGGGGAAGAGGAGCATTGGGTGAAAAAAATGAAAAGAGGTAGAAAGGGAAAAAAAGTTGCATATAGAATTTTTAAAAATAGAAGGAGAAAGGGAGGGAAAAAAAGGAGAAAAAGAGGGGTTAAAGAGAGTGGTAACAATGTAAAAAGAGAAATGGAGGGGTGGGTGAGATGTTTTCAACAAATTTTTTAAAATAAAAAAAGTTTTGGAGCAGATTAACAAGTTAAGGAAGCCTAGAGAACAAAGGGTTTTGGGTCATTTAAAAAATGGGAGAGGAGTTTTAATTAAATGGAGATTAGAGTATTGGGAAATGGGGGAATTTTTTTGGGGGAATTGTTAAATTTTGATGAAATAGGGAACTGGTTTTCTTAAAGGGGCAAGGGGGAAAATAACCTTGTGGGATGAGGAAGAGCCATTGTGGTGGGGGGAAGTTCGTGAGGCAGTAGGTAAAATGAAAAGGGTAACACCGGGATTTAGAAAAAGATAGAAATTTTAAAAGCGGGGGGGATAAGTTTTGGTGGGGGTGCAATTATTAATAAATTATTTAGAGGAAGGACCTAGGGATTGGCGAGAGCATGCATATTTTCCTTTGTAAAAAGGGCAAAGGGGAAAAAAGAGAGTGAAAAAATTTATAGGGGGTTAAGTCTGTTGAAAAACCCGGGTAAAGTTATATAGATTATATTGAAAAAATTAAGAGTAAGCGGAGAATAGATAGCAATGAAAAAGGGGGCTTTAGGAAAAGGGTAAGGTGTGGGGACCAGGGTTTAAGGAAACATATAAGTGAACATATTTAGATAAGGCTAAAGAAAAAAGGTCTTTTTGGCATTTTGGTTTGGAAAAGGCTATGACAGGGGGGATGGGGGGGAAGGGTGGCAGATGTTGCAGGGTAGGGGTGTAGGGGTGGTTACTGAAAGCATGAAAGTTTTTTAACGAGGATATAACCCAAGTAGAGTTGTGGAAGGGAAAAAATTCTTTCCCAAAAAGTACCTTAAAAAGGTTTTTGATTCACCATGGTTGTTTAATTATTTATAGAGGGGGTTGAAGAAAAAGTAAATGCGGGGGCTGGAAGAGCTGGATTTAAAGATAAAGAATCACACAAGGGGAGTTGCACAGTTGCTCTTTGCTGATACACGGGGCTTTTGGGAATTCTGAAGAGAATTGCAGAGATTGGTGGAGAATTTGGTAGGGGGGCAAAAGAAAAAATTAAAATGAATACCGGAAAGATAAGGTTATAGGATAACAAAAAATTAGGATGAAAATTGGGGTATCGATTTAGGAGAGAGTAGAGGGGGTAAAGTATTCAAATTTGGGGGTGACGTTCAGTGGATGGGGCATGAAAGATGGGTGAATTTTAAAAATTGATGAGGGGGAAAAAGGGGAGGGTGCACTTTTGGAGCTGTAGACAAAGAACTTTTTCCCTTTGGGGGCAAAAGGGAAAGATTAGAGTAATTTTTACCCAAAGCTCTTATATGGGGTGAAGCTGGGTATATGTTTTTAGCGAGGGGAAGGCTTGGGGGCAGTGGAATGCATTCTGAGGGCAATGTGGGTGTAATTATCAGAGAATTCGTATTTGGAAGTTGGAGGGTGTGGATTACCAAAAAAAATTTTTCCAAGGTTTAGGAAGGGTTGTTTTGGGGGGTCGACATGTAAAAATGGAGCAACAGTGACTTTAAATGTAAAGTCGTAGTGGAAGGGAAGGCAGGGTAGGGGTCGGGCCCCAGGAAAAATTGGAGGAGGGGGGAAAGGGGGTTTTTTTGGGCAGGGGGTTGGACTTCCACAGGGATGCGTGAGCGTGTTTTTAAGGATAAATGGAACAAACGGTTTTTAATATTACTCGTTGGAGTGTACAAAGTAACATTTAGAAGGGGGTTTAGGGAAACGGCAGGCCGGACTTGATCCTGGGGATGGGAAGACAGTTCGCACCTGAAGGGGGGGGGTTAATGTTGCGTTTAAAAACTGTAGTTAAAGCCCCCTTCTGGGGAAGACATGAGGGGTGAATGATGGTAAATTTTTCTTTTTCGGCCACCCTGCCTTGGTGGAATCGGGCCCTGTGAAAATAAAAAAAAAAGATAAATTCCGAAAAAGGGGGAAAACCCCAAGCAAAGCATTTTTTTTAACTTTCAACAAATTTCCCTTTAAGCAAAATTTGGGAACTATTGAGCACTTTTCTTTTTCCCCTTATCCTTATCGCAACCCAGTACCGGAGGGAACACAAAATCCTCGCTTTGGGACCAGACAAATCTACGACGAAAAAGAAATTTTGTAGCTTATCACAATACAATTTATTAACAATAACAAAGACGTGATTCTTTTCATTAAAAACTGCTTGAAGAACAACTAGAATTTAATTTTCATTGTCTAAAATTTTTACTAATAACATTACCGGGGAAAATTTAAAACCAATACCCCCAAAACTTCATAGAATTGGGTGGTAACTTTTACTCATCAGTACAGTGAAAAAAGTGAAAACAAGAATGTTTGGGAAAGGCCCATGACACTTTTTGAATGGGGGGAAGGGAATTAAAAGCTTAAAAGATTGACTTTTTATTAAATTTGGTTTTGCAGCATAAAAAAAGGCGTTTTTAATATTTCCTTTGCAAAAAAAACCAAAAAAAAAAAACATAAACCCTACAAGGTATTTTGTAAGAAAAAAATTGACAAATTTTTACTTTTTTTTTAACTTCATAACTTCAGAAACCCATTGAAATTTTTCCCTATATACAATAACAAGTACCCTCTTATAAAACATACTTACCGTACAATTTTATTTTCAAACTGTTTAGATTGCCGCCATTTGCGTATGCAGTTTAAGCAGAAGCAATGCGCACAATTGGGCAAGATCCCAAATCTTCGCTGAGATGCCAAGGGGCGTTCCATAACATTGTCCATGCAGATCCCACACACTTTGTCTCGAGATCTTGCAACAGCAAATGAATGCTCCATTTCAGCCTCCATTAGCTTGGTGCACTCCTTTCAAATGAAAGTTTTGAGAATAAAACTATCAAGCAATTTAGACATTAGAATAAAAAAAAAATTGAAAACCAAACTAGGTGTTAATATAAATTTTCATAATACCTGTAATGAAATTGAAAAAGGTGCCCATTTACTTGGGGTTTTTGAGGTGGTTGGTTATTTAGAGAGAATGGATCAAAGTAGAATGACATGGACAGCGTATAAATCTGTAGGGGAAGGAAGACGGGGTAGGGGTCGTCCTCGAAAAGGTTGGAGGGAAGGGGTATGAGAAGTTTTGTGGGCGAGGGGCTTGGACTTCCAGCAAGCATGCGTGAGCGTGTTAGATAGGAGTGAATGGAGACAAATGTATTTGGGACCTGACGAGCTGTTGGAGTGTGAGCAGGGTAATATTTAGTGAAGGGATTGAGGGAAACCGGTTATTTTTATATAGCCGGACTCGAGTCCTGGAAATGGGAAGTACAATGCCTGCACTTTAAAGGAGGGGTTTGGGATATTAGCAGTTTGAAGGGATATCTAAACTGTCATATCTGGGCACCTCTGCAGAGAGACAGTGATTACGTGTGAATGATAAGTGTTGATTGATGGTGAAAGTGTTTGTTTTTTGGGTCACCTGCCTTGGTGGGAGATGGCTAACAATTAAAAATCTCCATGGGGAAGTGGAACAGAATTCTTCCTCCGTAAGCCATGCATGTTGTAAGAGGCAACTAAAATGCTGAGAGTAAGGGGCCAGCAACCCCTTCTGTTTACATTATTAAATTTAAAAAGAGAAACTCATGTTTTTCTTTTTAGGTCGCCCTGCCCTGGCGGGATATGGCCAGCTTGATGAAAAATTTCATTTGCAATTTTAACTAAATTTTATCAAAAGTACTAAATGCTGGTGCCCACTAGAGTATTTTACAAAAAACTCTTCACTTTCATGCAGTAGTTCAAGAAACAGATAGCAAAATAAAACTTATCTTTGTTTCAAGTGATAGTAAAAAGCCACATTAATAGGTCTCCCTTTGCCATGTGTCCTTTTGTAACCACTCATCAGTACAGCCATATACCAACTCTGGTTTAATGTTAGGGGTCCCCCCACTTTAAAATTTAGTGTTCTTTGATTTTGTTGTAAAGATAACATTTGCTAAAATGCACCAAATTCATGGGGAGAATCAGTGCATTTTCAAGAAAATTAAATCTTACCTCCTTGTGTGTTCTTCTTTGTTCTTTATCATACGGATGTAAGCAAGCTAACTGGCACACTTCACAGAGTAAGCCATGGATGTACGAGCAATTTTCCCCTATTTGACATTTGCCAGACATTAAGTAGGTTGGACACAACTCACTGTCTGATGACCTGATATCACTGATGAAGCCACAGGAGGGGTCTTTGTCACCACCTCCAGCCACTTGAGCATAAGAGACATCATATTCTGCTGTCAGGAATAAAAATATTGACAAACTTTTAGTGCTCAAGATATACAAAGAGGGGACTCAAACGTGCATTTCTGTTCTTGCAAACAATAATTAAAAATCTTCAAAGCTAAGTTTCAAGTTTCCTCTTATCCCACATCCCTTTACTCAGTTTGAATGAAGCCAAAGAACTATTTTGTATTAATCGAGGGAAAATTAAGAGGCAGGCCCAAGAACTAAAGCTCACCCCTCACAAATTCATGTAATTGCATACACACAAATGTAAGGGCAGTATCATCCAAATTTATAAGGCCATTACTTAAATTACAGTTTAAAATGTATATACATGTACTACTGTGATTGTCAGCTAAGCTTAATTCTACTTTTGGGGTGAGGGGTATATTAATGTGTGAACATGGCATCTCATACATGTCTATGCAATGCACATGCTGATCTTTCTTTTAACCCCACTGGATATTTCCCATTGCAAAACACTGAAAAATGTCTAATTACCAAAAGAGTAAAGAATGAAAATTTAAAATCTTTTCTTTCTTTCAATGTACCAGCCATATCCCACTGAGGTGGGGTTAAAATATGAACACCAAATAAATATTTTATTTAAAAAGTGCCATAAGTTTGTCACAAAAATCCTTTACAAACTGAAAATTAGAGTAAATTAATAAAAACTCTGATGACAGAAGCAAAGCTGAAGTCTCCTAATACTTTAAGTTCAAAGAACTAAAAGCTAATATTTTTATTCAAAAGGCCAGTTCTGAAAGTTTACAGACAGAATCTCTTACTCACGCTTAGAAGTAACATCTTTGGCAAATCTAGGTACAAATTCAGGAGCATCCACCCAGGATGGTGCAGGATTATTCTGACACCAACTAGGTAAACACTTTTGTTTACTGCTCATTCTTGATAAAATGCTGCTGGTGCAATTGGTGCTGCTGTTGGTGTTGGCGCTGCTGCTGCTGCTGCTGCTGCTGCTGCTACTACTGATGTTACTGTTGCTGCTGCAGCTACTGTTCCTGCTACTGGTACCATTGCTGCTGCTAGTGCTGCTGCTAGTGCTGCTGCTGCTGCTGCTGCTGCTGCTGCTGCTACAACTGCTAATGCCACTGCTACAACTGCTATTACTGCTGCTACTATTATTACTTTTTTTGTTGCTGCTGCTGCCAGCACTATTCAATTTCTTGGGACTACCATTAACAGGTAGGTCACTGGGAGGGTTATATATGAATTCCTTCGCATGTATGCTGAAAATTAATGTCAAAATAGTATAAAGATCTTCTTTAACCCATATGTAAAAATTAACAACAAACTTCCAGTTTTTAAGTACACTATGTTATTTACTTAACTAAAGTTAGATTCTTTTGCTGCAACAGAAATAAAGAAACCATACAGTACCTACAAGATATAAATTAAATTTATATATAAAAATGTGTAAAATACTTCATACATTTTTTTTTTTTTTTTACTTGGCATAAGCAATATGAATTCCAGAGCCAAGCATTTTAATCTGTTATAATTATCTTACTAATCACCCTTCAAATAATTACATGATGTAACTGTTGTACTGTGCTGAATTTTTTACCTATAACTGTTCTTTATAATATGCATTTACTTAATCACATACTACATGTTGAACAGAAAAAAAAAATGTGCAAAAACACACAAATTATTCTGTTAATGGAAGTTTATGGGATATAAATACCATTCCTGAATACAGTAATGTATTTACCTTGCACAAACTAACAAAAAAAAGCTTTCCTCTCGGTTAATATCAAATGATGATTTAATGATATAATATCTTCAAAACCATGTACAATAACTCAGTTAACACTTATTTTTTATTTTTTTTATTATCACACCGGCCGATTCCCACCAAGGCAGGGTGGCCCGAAAAAGAAAAACTTTCACCATCATTCACTCCATCACTGTCTTGCCAGAAGGGTGCTTTACACTACAGTTTTTAAACTGCAACATTAACACCCACTTATTATCCTTGACAATTTTCACTGGAACTGATGCCTATGAATTTATTTGCAATACTGAAGAAAAATTTAGAAGATTTGCAGAATACCTATGCTTTCAAAATAAAAAAAAAGAGCATCCATTTCATACCCTACTACTACAAAAAGACTCACCTTACACCAAGTACATTAGTGTGACTAGATTGCGTTTTTGTTTCTTCAACACCTTCTCGAAGCCTCAAGTCAAACCTGTCATTCTGAGTAGACTCCGGACAAGGATTATTTTTACGACGTTCTTCTTGCTGAGTAGAATCTGACTGACTGTGATTGTCTGGGCGAATGTGATCATATCTATAAATTAAGGATCACAGGTTAATGAAAACAAATAGTAATCCTGAGTAAACAGCTAATAGGGCTGTCAAACACACACAAGAATTACTAAAAGGTTGGGTAATTGGGCACCTTTTCATTTTAGCACAAGAAATATAGTTTATGATAACACTACATTATTATTTCACTTGTAATGTACCATAATCATCAAGCAATAAAATCACCAGATCTGAAATAGAAACAGGTATCATGACCTTACAGAAAAGCAAAAACAAACAATAGTAAGAATTATCTGAATATAGAGTACAGATAAACAACTACAGTAGGGCCCCACTTATACAGCAGGTTAGGTTCCAAGCTACTGCCACATAGCAGACATCGCCGGAAAGCAGAACGCCATTTTTTCCACTTATAAATGCATATAGTAAATGCCAGATAACAAGTTTACACTAACAAATATTAAGTTAGCAATAGAACTGGGCATTAAAAAGCAATAAAAATTAAAATACACACACAGTACACTCATTATTTACCTCAAAATATTTGTAGTCTTAATGCAGGGCAAAAGGTGAGCAGTATTTACTGTAAGAAGTCAGGTGTGGTAGCCCTCCTGGCCACCCCACCCACACATAATATACTACGATGCTTCAAGCACCCTAAAGTGATAAAATGCATACAGGTCTCCCTCAACATTCGCGAGGGTTAGGGGATCAAGAGCCTCGCGAATGTTGAAAAACCGTGAATGTTTGGTGCCCCAATATATTGTAGGGAAATATAATACAATACTGCTTAACTTGCTGAACTACGAACAATCATAAAATAAACGAAAATGTCGTAAATTGTACTAAATATATACATGTTATGCTTTAATGACATGTATGTTATTAAATACCACAGACTCCACCACTGCCTCCACCACTTCCTCAACCACTGCGAGTCCCTACTACCCTCCCTCCGACCCCCGCAACTGGCAGCCAGCCCTCCCACCACTCAGTGTGGTGAGTGTTTTGTTCATTATTTGCTATTAAACTACAGTATAAATAATGTAAACCTATTCATGACTGCATATTGGAATGGCTATTCGGACAGGTATTGGATGGTGACATCATGTGGTTACTCCTGAACACAGCAAAGAATCAAACATTTCTGCTACTGCAAATAAATAATAATAAATATAATAATAATAATAATAATAATAATAATAATAATAATAATAATAATAATAATAATAATAATAATAATAATAATAATAATAATAAGATATAATTGAAGAAGGAAATTGTACAAAAATACGAGGGAGTGGTTGACACATCATCAGTGTGACTTTGTTTATGCTGGAGTGAACATTAGTCTCCCTGCTCTTCCAAACATTTCACAATAATTCAGCAGTTGAGGCAGTGGTATTTAATAACATATATGTTATAAATAATAATAGTACATATTATTAATAACATGTATTATTATTATTAACAACATGCATGTTATTAAATACCACTGCCTCAACTGCTGCCTCAACCACTGCCTCAATCGCTTCCTCACCCGCTGCCTCACCCGCTGCCTCAACCGCTGCCTCAACCGCTGCCTCAACCGCTGCCTCTACCGCTGCCTCTACCGCTGCCTCTACCGCTGCCTCTACCGCTGCCTCCTACCGCTGCCTCTACCGCTGCCTCTACCGCTGCCTTTTACCGCTGCCTCTACCGCTGCCTCTACCGCTGCCTCTACCGCTGCCTTACCGCTGCCTCTACCGCTGCCTCTACCGCGCCTCTACCGCTGCCTCTACCGCTGCCTCTACCGCTGCCTCTAACCGCTGCCTCTACCGCTGCCTCTCCCGCTGCCTCTACCGCTGCCTCTACCGCTGCCTCTACCGCTGCCTCTACCGCTGCCTCTACCGCTGCCTCTACCGCTGCCTCTACCGCTGCCTCTACCGCTGCCTCTACCGCTGCCTCTACCGCTGCCTCTACCGCTGCCTCTACCGCTGCCTCTACCGCTGCCTCTAACCGCTGCCTCTACCGCTGCCTCTACCGCTGCCTCTACCGCTGCCTCTACGCTGCCTCTACCGCTGCCTCTACCGCTGCCTCTACCGCTGCCTCTACCGCTGCCTCTACCGCTGCCTCTACCGCTGCCTCTACCACTGCCTCTACCACTGCCTCTACCACTGCCTCTACCACTGCCTCTACCACTGCCTCTACCACTCCAGTCGCACTCAATCTACAAGCACCAAACAATGAATTATTGTGAAATGTTTGGAAGAGCAAGGAGACTAATGTTCACTCCAGCATAAACAAAGTCACACTGACGATGTGTCAACTACTCCCTCGTATTTTTGTACAATTTCCTTCTTCAATTATATCATATTTATTATTATTATTACTATTGTTATTATTAGCTGTAGCAGAAATGTTTAATTCTTTGCAGTGTTCAAGAGTAAACACATGATGTCACCGTCTAATACCTGTCCGAATAGCCATTCCAATATGCAGTCATGAATGGGTTTACATTATTTATACTGTAGTTTAATAGCAAATAATGAACAAACAAAACACTCACCACACTGAGTGGTGGGAGGGCTGGCTGCCAGTTGCAGGGGTCGGAGGGAGGGTAGTAGGGACTCGCAGGTGGCGGGAAACTTAAATATGATTTGGCGGCTGGGAATTTGGTGGCTGGGAATTTGGCGGTTGGGAATTCGCGAATGTGTGAAGCCCGTGAAAGTTGAAAACGTGAATGTTGAGGGAGACCTGTAATTTTTAAAAGAAATGATGCTCTGACGAATTATTATTATTACAAACTGTTATTATTACAAGTTTTATTATTATTACAAGTTATTATTATTACAAATTAATATAATCATAATAAAAAAGAAGCACTAAACCCACAAGGGTTGTGAATAGCTATAGATAGAATGAAGGCATACTAAAGGAATATTTTTCTACAGTTAAGTAACTGGTGTTTGACTAGAGAAAACGTAATTCTTCTGATGCTCCTACCAACCGCTTGGTAAACAAATCTCATATTTGTCAGTTTTTTATATTGTGGGTGTATCATGTTCATATGTTACGTAACATGTTTATTACACAATTTTGAAAAAATATAGATGGATTAATGGAAATGTCTACATTAATGTAATACATGATATTTAATGCACCCAAGAGATTATGTGGTGTCAAGAGTAGAGAGAGACTTAGTGATTTTAATGTGTACTTACACACCAGCACAGTGTGTAAGTATATTTAGGTACAGGTACACAAGTACATATACTAATTATGAGAGTACACTGTAGTATATATAAAATATGCAATAACTTTAAAAAACTTGAAATTCTGGAAAATTTCCAGACATAATGGGAAGTATAGTGCCTGCACTCTGAAGGAGGGGTGTTAATGTTGCAGTTTAAAAACTGTAGTGTAAAGCACCCTTCTGGCAAGACAGTGATGGAGTGAATGATGGTGAAAGTTTTTCTTTTTCGGGCCACCCTGCCTTGGTGGGAATCGGCCAGTGTGATAAAAAAAAAAAAAAAAAAATAATAGATATATGTGCTCACGGAGAATGTAAACAAACCAGGTGGGGCATACCGTATTTTAAAGACCGCTTGCAGTATAGAAAGTTTTGGTCATAATTTGAAATCGTCGTATTAGCAGAATGCCATTAGGTGACACGCCACAAAGAGGGGCTCTACTGTATAGAAAAAAATACCAATTTCAGTTAAGTGACTAAACTAATGAAGGAAGTCATGAGTGCCCATTTACCCCCAAGTACAATGGGCCCAACTGCCCCATTGGTTGTAACAGAGCGCGTTTGGTGGAGAGATTTACAAGTTTGGTAGGTTTTGTGCAAAAATTTACATGATTTTGTAGTTTCCTTCATTTTGTGCCAATGCTGAGCATTTCCATACCGAGTAGTCTTTATTTTCTAGGAAAATAATCTCCCAGAAAGAAGTGCCTTAAACAAGTTCAAACTTCCTGATTAGACTATCATTTGTTCATCAGAAATCAAAAATTAATATCCACATTTGACAATGTTGATTACTTTGTCAAATTTATTATTTTTATTTTATTATCACACTGGCCGATTCCCACCAAGGCAGGGTGGCCCGAAAAAGAAAAACTTTCACCATCATTCACTCCATCACTGTCTTGCCAGAAGGGTGCTTTACACTACAGTTTTTAAACTGCAACATTAACACCCCTCCTTCAGGGGTGTTAATGTTGCAGTTTAAAAACTGTAGTGTAAAGCACCCTTCTGGCAAGACAGTGATGGAGTGAATGATGGTGAAAGTTTTTCTTTTTCGGGCCACCCTGCCTTGGTGGGAATCGGCCAGTGTGATAATAAAATAAAAATAATAAATTTGACAAAGTAATCAACATTTCCATTTCAGATTAGCTACAGTAGCCTCATTACCATAATTACAGTACAGGAATTAAATTCCATAAATTCAAAAAACACTTTTGCTACTAATTCAATTAAAATAATTTTTTATAATAATCACAGCATGGCCTATGTAAAAATTGTGATGGCTTAAGTACATAATAATGTTCTCTGTCATTAAATAAAATAGTACCTCCATGATCATCAATTTCAAGTTTACCATGCCTGGATAAGACAGTTTCAAGACTCTACTGGCAATCATGGGAAGTTTGAAGAGAATCTAATTAACAAACTGTAGGCAAAAAATATGATCTACAGCAAAGTAAAAACTAATACACGTATTTTAACCCTTGCACATCAAAGTAAACAAACCCCAAATGTGAGAATAGATGTAATTTCGTTTTATACTATCAAGTGAATAGATCAAGAAAATATCATGTTCTTGTAGAACAAAGGAGGGGCAGGAATACAAAACCTGAAAAGTCTACCCCTAAAATAACAGCTATTTTTTTTATGGCTTACAGGTCACTGATGAAGGAAAACACCCAAGAATAACTTTATTCTGTAATAACATTGTAATATAATTAAAAGATTATCTATAATCTAGAATTACCTGCATGTACGTCCGTAAAAGCAGGTTCCTCTCAAATAATATCGACACACCATTGAAGGTCGAGCTGCATCACGATTGTGAGAAAAACTGCACCATTCTCCCTCACGACAAGCCCCATTTATAAAATACCTGAAATTTAAATTTTTTAAAATGAAATATGTATAAAAAAATACAAGCAAGTTATATTTTTATTATTTTTTTTATTATCACACCGGCCGATTCCCACCAAGGCAGGGTGGCCCGAAAAAGAAAAACTTTCACCATCATTCACTCCATCACTGTCTTGCCAGAAGGGTGCTTTACACTACAGTTTTTAAACTGCAACATTAACACCCCTCCTTCAGAGTGCAGGCACTGTACTTCCCATCTCCAGGACTCAAGTCCGGCCTGCCGGTTTCCCTGAATCCCTTCATAAATGTTACTTTGCTCACACTCCAACAGCACGTCAAGTATTAAAAACCATTTGTCTCCATTCACTCCTATCAAACACGCTCACGCATGCCTGCTGGAAGTCCAAGCCCCTCGCACAACAAAACCTCCTTTACCCCCTCCCTCCAACCCTTCCTAGGCCGACCCCTACCCCGCCTTCCTTCCACTACAGACTGATACACTCTTGAAGTCATTCTGTTTCGCTCCATTCTCTCTACATGTCCGAACCACCTCAACAACCCTTCCTCAGCCCTCTGGACAGCAGTTTTGGTAATCCCGCACCTCCTCCTAACTTCCAAACTACGAATTCTCTGCATTATATTCACACCCACACATTGCCCTCAGACATGACATCTCCACTGCCTCCAGCCTTCTCCTCGCTGCAACATTCATCACCCACGCTTCACACCCATATAAGAGCGTTGGTAAAACTATACTCTCATACATTCCCCTCTTTGCCTCCAAGGACAAAGTTCTTTGTCTCCACAGACTCCTAAGTGCACCACTCACTCTTTTTCCCTCATCAATTCTATGATTCACCTCATCTTTCATAACCCATCCGCTGACACGTCCACTCCCAAATATCTGAATACGTTCACCTCCTCCATACTCTCTCCCTCCAATCTGATATTCAATCTTTCATCACCTAATCTTTTTGTTATCCTCATAACCTTACTCTTTCCTGTATTCACCTTTAATTTTCTTCTTTTGCACACCCTACCAAATTCATCCACCAATCTCTGCAACTTCTCTTCAGAATCTCCCAAGAGCACAGTGTCATCAGCAAAGAGCAGCTGTGACAACTCCCATTTTGTGTGTGATTCTTTTATCTTTTAACTCCACGCCTCTTGCCAAGACCCTCGCATTTACTTCTCTTACAACCCCATCTATAAATATATTAAACAACCACGGTGACATCACACATCCTTGTCTAAGGCCTACTTTTACTGGGAAAAAATTTCCCTCTTTCCTACATACTCTAACTTGAGCCTCACTATCCTCGTAAAAACTCTTCACTGCTTTCAGTAACCTACCTCCTACACCATACACTTGCAACATCTGCCACATTGCCCCCCTATCCACCCTGTCATACGCCTTTTCCAAATCCATAAATGCCACAAAGACCTCTTTAGCCTTATCTAAATACTGTTCACTTATATGTTTCACTGTAAACACCTGGTCCACAAAACTCTATAGAACCTAAAGTTGGCCAGGACACAATCAAAAAATTTTACAGCAACATTCACATTGATTTTTTAAAGCATTAGTTCATGCTTAATGTATTATTACATAGTATATTCATGGGGAGGTGCTAAACCCATAAGGATGCATAGTGCTTGAGAAATGGGAGGGGAGGGGGGGGTGGAGAAAGGGTGGCAATCAGATTTGATTGCAGAAAGGGGAGGGTTACTCCAATTTCTTGAATCAAGAGTCCTTTACATCACGTTTACCCCCTAAAAGTCAAAGTAATATGGACAAATTTCTATAGGTATCTGTCAAATAGATTTTACAATCATTAACCCTTTGACTGTCGCAAGCCCCTTTCTGAAACTGTCATTCTATGTCACAAAAGTTTTGGGAAAAAAAAATTTTTTTTTCTTATGAAATGATAGAGAATCTTTTCCCAATGGTAATGTCACCAAAAGTACGAAATTTGGTCGAAAACTCACGGAATTACACTCCCGTGCGTGAAGTTAGCGGTCTCGGCGACATATACGCAATTTCGTCGACTTTGTGCCGTTATTGGCCAATTCCATTGTTCCAGTTGATCAAACTCAGCTATTTCTTTAGAACTCCATTTTTTCTATCAGTTGAGTACAGGAAACCGCCCATTTACCGATTTGAACTACCCAATAAAGTGGTCAGAAATTGGCAATTTGGCCAATTTCACACAAATTAAAAAAAGATGCCAATTTCAAAATAGGGTCCAGAATAAACAATGTAGACATTCTTGGCACTAAAATAACATATCCTCTGTTCGTTAGTCACGTCTCTAGGCCCCTCTTATATTACTATTGCTTTCTATTTTGATTTTTTATTCATACAAAAAAATACAAAATTTACTGTTATGCAGACTACTGCATTATTTTAAAAATGGTATAAATAATATCAGTGCACCAGTGAAAAAATATTAGACTCCCCAGTTGACGTGTATTGGACGTGTGGTGTAATTTGCTTACTCCTGAACACTGGTAAAAATCGAACATTTCTGCAAATTTGAGCTCAATTTCAAGGTTGTTTTCATCATGAAAGTAATGAAAATCATCTCTATTTCTGTAATATGTTTTCCATTTTATTACCCGAGACCATGAAAACGAGAATACAACGATAAATACCATACGAAAATACACCTCAAAGTCGGCGTTCTAAAAAAAAAATGAAAAAAAAAAAAAAAAAAAAAAAAAGAACGGTCTTTTTTTTTGCTCATTATGCACTGCATGCTGCAGGATTTTTTTGTGGTGCACACTGACCACACACACCCATTCTCTCACATGTGGGCCTACCAGCTTTCTCCTGCTTGATCTGAAGCTGCTAGAATTTGTGTGTTTAAATACGTCAGAAACAGTGGCGCGTAAGACGTATATATACGACGTAAACAGTCAAAGAGTTAACAAACAGGATGATTAAACAAAAAACATTCTATATTTGTGGGTGTCCTTTGGTTTGGTTAGTAACGCCCTCGCCTCACACACCGAGTGTACATGGTTCAATCCCTGGCATGGGTGGAAATGTTGGGTATGTTTCCTCACACCTGCTGTCCCTGTTCACCAAGCAGTACGCTGTCAGATGGAGTAAGCTGTCAATGACCCTTACAAAACAAACATGGAGAAGTAGGTACCTGGGTGTTAATCAACTGTTGTGGGTCACATCCTTGGCAGACAAGATTAAAGGATCTCAATAGAAATAGAGTCCTCAATGATACACAAACTTTCTTGGGCTATCCTGGGTTGCTAACCCTCCAGATTACAAAGCTCAACAACTCTTATCTTAATCTACTGAAGAGGGTTTCTGACAGATTGAAATATCCAAGTCTTTTACACTTGGAATTTTATTTTATCCTGCAGATCCTCCAGTGGCTAGTGGCTTGCAAATGAGAGACCTGGGGTTGATCGTGAGGCAGTTGATGTTACCCCCACTCACCTAGCAGTAAGCAGGTACCCGAGTGTTTACCAACTGTTGTGGGCCACATGCTGAGGAAGAGGACTAAAGGAGCCCAGTGAACATAATTATTATTATTATAATCAAAAAGAAGCGCTAAGCCACAAGGGCTATACAGCACCAGTGAACATAAGCAGTATTGACTTTTCTTTATACTAGATTACTAACTAGGGGCTGTGCGGAAGTATCTGGATCAGTGGGCAATGAAAAATTTTGGTGATAATGGCTTAAAATTGGGTATCAGTATCAGCATCCACAAAAATTTTAGTATCCTTGTAATAACATGGTTAATAATTCAAATAAAATCTGTCCAAAGTATTTTTTCAACAATGCAATAAAAAACTGCAGTCACCAATCTTATGTTGCTGTCAATTACCTTTAATATATACCTTTGAAGAGTTTCGAGAGCCTCTCTACTCTCTGAGCCCAGCCATGGGTCAGGCTCATCTGGTGCTTGCCTGGTCAACCAGGCTGTTGCTGCTGGATTCAATGGATTTAAATCCTCGAAGAAACATTTCTTTGAAGTGCAGTAGCAGCACACTCCTCTCAAATGAAGTACCTGGGATCAAACCCTGGGCAAGGCAGAACGTACAAGCAAGTCTCCAAACACCAACTGTCCCAGTTGACTAGCAATTAAGTAGTTACCCAAGACTTCGTTAACTTGTAGTGGTCTTCCAGGGGAGAACCAAAGTTTATTTGACCACAGGTACACAAGTACACTTACCATAGTGTAAATTATCTAGGATAACCCAAGTCAGCAATTCGTACTTATTTCCAATGGGATCTTCATGCTTATTTCCATTGGGATTCTCGTGCTTATTTCCATTGGGATCCTCGTGCTCATTTCCACAGGAGTCCTCATGGTTACTTCCACTAGGGTCCTTGTACTTATTTCTACTAGGGTCCTCATGCTTATTTCTACCGGGCTTCTCGTGCTTATTTCTACTGGGGTCCTCACGCTTATTTCCACCAGGGTAATCGTGCTTATTTCCAGAGATCCTTGCACTTATTTACACTGGGGTCCCCATACTTATTTCCACGGGGGCCTTGTACTCATTTCCATTAGGGTCCTAAATAAAACAGAAAACTCTTACTGCTTGATGTTCTGGGTTATAAACCCTCCAGATTAATACTCCGATCTTCTTTCATCACACATTAAGTCCAATAATACGTAATTAATATTAAAATCAATGGGTTATCAGTCCTGGATTAATAACGTCAATGGGGCTTAAAATAAATCAAAACAAATTCAACAAAATTAAATTTTGGCCGTATAAATTAACTTCCATTAAATTTCAGGGTTACTTATTGTACATTTTAAGGTGAACTGAGAAAAATGTGTTTCACTTCCACAAGGAAATATGTAATAACGTCTAATTTCAACTTTAAATTGACGGTTGTTCATGGTTCTTTGTCATGAGCTTACAAAGGTGTACAATGTAATTATTTCCTTGTAGGTTCAAGGATTACTGTGCTCTCTCTCTCAGGATTACATAGTGAAACTCTACAATATATGGCAGGCTAGGGGAGATAGTAATACTTACCGACACAATACATTCTGTGCTCCACCTTCTGCCATTTTCACATCTTTGATGAAAACAAGTCCCAATATTTTTACTTTGATATTCTCTGCGAAAAATAATAAATTTAAATCATAACTGTTATAATAGTAGAGTCAACTTAAAAATATATATCATGCGGGGATTTATTTTAGTTCACATTACTCTTTACTTTTGTAAATTGAGGTAAATATTTAAATGTGTAAAGATTATAGATTAGAAAGCAAAATTAGAGTAGCGCGGGTTATTTAAACTGGTTCCTCCCGACCTTGGTGATTAATATTATCATTTTTCTTTGTATTACACTCGTGAATAAATATTTTTACTTTGTCTATTGTACATAACTTATAACTACTACCAATTTTCTAAATATAACAACAAATATTATATATTGTAAAGAACTCAAAACCACATATAATCTTCATCGTAATGTTTGTATTACTGAATTTATTAATATTTAAGCAACTCTTTGCTCTTGTTCATAAGTCAATAAGATTGTAAATAGTTCATTACTTGTCTAACTTAACTATTTAACAAAAATATCAGGGCATGGTCCCCGGTTCTATTATACACCTCAGTAATTTTTATGATTACAACGTTGCCAGATGGACCATTGTCACACCTTGAGTCATTATGTGCTGGAATGCGATAAAATTAATGAATTCAGAGACAGCTCACTCAGAAATAGTATATTACAGTGGTATATTACTAATAATTCTGGAAACATATCCTTATAATAGACTAAGCCTATTGTAAATACATGCATAACCACTTAAAACTGCTTAGATTCCAGCATACCTTGGTAAAATATAAGGTAATGTAAATGATTCAAGACTATACCTAAGCCACATTGTAATATTTTTGTGACTTAATTCATGTCTGCATAAATAACTCATTACGGGCATCTGCAATGTTGAGGTACAGTCCCTGGACCCATTATGTGTCTCTGTAATGTTGAGGTACAGTCCCTGGACCCATTATGTGTCTCTGTAATGTTGAGGTACAGTCCCTGGACCCATTATGTGTCTCTGTAATGTTGAGGTACAGTCCCTGGACCCATTATGTGTCTCTGTAATGTTGAGGTACAGTCCCTGGACCCATTATGTCTCTGTAATGTTGAGGTACAGTCCCTGGACCCATTATGTGTCTCTGTAATGTTGAGGTACAGTCCCTGGACCCATTATGTGCCTCTGTAATGTTGAGGTACAGTCCCTGGACCCATTATGTGTCTCTGTAATGTTGAGGTACAGTCCCTGGACCCATTATGTGTCTCTGTAATGTTGAGGTACAGTCTCTGGACCCATTATGTGTCTCTGTAATGTTGAGGTACAGTCCCTGGACCCATTATGTGTCTCTGTAATGTTGAGGTACAGTCCCTGGACCCATTATGTGTCTCTGTAATGTTGAGGTACAGTCCCTGGACCCATTATGTGCCTCTGTAATGTTGAGGTACAGTCCCTGGATCCATCATATGCCTTTGTAATGTTGAGGTACAGTCCCTGGACCCATTACGTGCCTCTGTAATGTTGAGGTACAGTCCCTGGACCCATCATATGCCTCTGTAATATTGAGGTACAGTCCCTGGACCCATTATGAGTCTCTGTAATGTTGAGGTACAGTCCCTGGACCCATCATATGCCTCTGTAATATTGAGGTACAGTCCCTGGACCCAATTGTGTTGAGAAATGGCATTACCAGTTAAGTTTAAAGACTTATACTTAACTTAAAAGGACAACTCATCGCCTGCACAGCCGCCCCTGCAGACGAGGTCTAAAAGCTGTCGAAACCATCTCAACATGGGCTGTCAAGAAATATAATTTGTATGATTATAAATTACCCCTAGGGGGTGTTATGTCAGCATACTTCATTCACTGATGGCTGACAAAATACCTACTTGTGTGGACTCAATGGTCCGCATATCAACGGGGTTTATACCTAAGCCACATTGTAATATTTGTGTGACTTAATTCATGTCTGCATAAATAACTCATTACGGGCATCTGCAATGTTGAGGTACAGTCCCTGGACCCATTATATGTCTCTGTAATGTTGAGGTACAGTCCCTGGACCCATTATGTGTCTCTGTAATGTTGAGGTACAGTCCCTGGACCCATTATGTGCCTCTGTAATGTTGAGGTACAGTCCCTGGATCCATCATATGCCTCTGTAATGTTGAGGTACAGTCCCTGGACCCATTATGTACCTCTGTAATGTTGAGGTACAGTCCCTGGACCCCTCATATGCCTCTGTAATATTGAGGTACAGTCCCTGGACCCATTATGAGTCTCTGTAATGTTGAGGTACAGTCCCTGGACCCATTATGTGTCTCTGTAATGTTGAGGTACAATCCCTGGACCCATTATGTGTCTCTGTAATGTTGAGGTACAGTCCCTGGACCCATTATGTGCCTCTGTAATGTTCAGGTACAGTCCCTGGACCCATCATATGCCTCTGTAATATTGAGGTACAGTCCCTGGACCCAATTGTGTTGAGAAATGGCATTACCAGTTAAGTTTAAAGACTTATACTTAACTTAAAAGGACAACTCATCGCCTGCACAGCCGCCCCTGCAGACGAGGTCTAGAAGTTGTTGAAACCATCTCAACATGGGCTGTCAAGAAATATAATTTGTATGATTATAAATTACCCCTAGGGGGTGTTATGTCAGCATATTTCATTCACTGATGGCTGACAAAATACCTACTTGTGTGGACTCAATGGTCCGCATATCACCGGGGTTTATCATAAGTGACTAACTCACGATTTTATACTCAACTGCGCAGTCAATAGTAGTACATCACGAGTTAGAACACTTACCTGGGTATATGTATCTGACCCGTAATTACGCCCGGATATCCGTTGAGTTGATTGAAGAATAGTGTTCTTTGAAGAATGTCGCACTACACTCTGTTGGTTCGCAACACTCGTTGTTACACTGTTCATCAATAATTGTTCACACAATATCACTAAGAAGTTGATCACACTTCTCTGTAAGTGTTTATCGTGTTTTGTGAGACACTCTGTCCACACTAACGCACAGATCAGTGTTCTTTGTTGGTTATCCTGGCGTCAGTGTCACTCGCTAGAGTCAAAAGTAATCTGAAAGACGCCACAGCGCTCCATGCCGTCACTGCCCCCGGCACAAAAAAAAAGCTGACCTAGTATTCCTTGCTTCCTTGCCACTTCCTCGATGAAGCAAAGCAGAATGTTTGATTCTTGCTCTCTTAAGCATAGACAACAATGTCCACTATCTTTACTATGGTAATAAAGTGGGAGCAGGATTTTCCTTAATTGTCCTGCTAAAGTAAGAGATGCACTGTCTCTTATAAAAATACACTTTGCAACACTGGACTGCAAGGAGCAGAAGTCATTTGACCACGCATACAGCATCTGTGATCAATTACTCACTCTCTCCAGGTAAACTCCAGGTAAACAAGATACTCGTCCCTTCTGAGAGGGCTTGGCCCCTCAGGGCTGAAAGGGGCTGAAGGGGCTGAAGGGGGCTGAAGGGGGCTGATACTCCCCTCCTGGAGAAAATTTCTCCACACCCATTATGAGTCTCTGTAATGTTGACGTACAGTTCCTGGACCCATCATATGCCTCTGTAATGTTGAAGTACAGTCCCTGGACCCATTATGTGTCTCTGTAATGTTGAGGTACAGTCCCCGGACCCATTATGTGTCTCTGTAATGTTGAAGTACAGTCCCTGGACTCATTATGTGTCTCTGTAATGTTGAGGTACAGTTGCTGGACCCATTATGTGTCTCTGTAATGTTGAGGTACAGTCCCTAAACCCATTATGTGTCTCTGTAATGTTGAGGTACAGTCGCTGGACCCATTATGTGTCTCTGTAATGTTGAAGTGCAGTCCCTGGACCCATTATGTGCCTCTGTAATGTTGAGGTCAAAGGAATTACCTGGAGACCTGGAGTTTACCTGGAGAGAGTTCCGGGGGTCAACGCCCCCGCGGCCCGGTCTGTGACCAGGCCTCCTGGTGGATCAGAGCCTGATTAACCAGGCTGTTGCTGCTGGCTGCATGCAAACCAACGTACGAGCCACAGCCCGGCTGATCAGGAACTGACTTTAGGTGCTTGTCCAGTGCCAGCTTGAAGACTCCCAGGGGTCTGTTGGTAATCCCCCTTAAGATAAGATAAGATAAGATAAGATTTCTTCGGATTTTTAACCCCGGAGGGTTAGCCACCCAGGATAACCCAAGAAAGTCAGTGCGTCATCGAGGACTGTCTAACTTATTTCCATTGGGGTCCTTAATCTTGTCCCCCAGGATGCGACCCACACCAGTCGACTAACACCCAGGTACCTATTTGCTGCTAGGTGAACAGGACAACAGGTGTAAGGAAACGTGTCGAAATGTTTCCACCCGCCGGGAATCGAACCCGGGCCCTCCGTGTGTGAAGCGGGAGCTTTAGCCACCAGGCCACCGGGCCACCTTACGTGTGCTGGGAGGCAGTTGAACAGTCTCGGGCCCCTGACACTTATTGTATGGTCTCTTAACGTGCTAGTGACACCCCTGCTTTTCATTGGGGGGATGGTGCATCGTCTGCCAAGTCTTTTGCTTTCGTAGTGAGTGATTTTCGTGTGCAAGTTCGGTACTAGTCCCTCTAGGATTTTCCAGGTGTATATAATCATGTATCTCTCCCTCCTGCATTCCAGGGAATACAGGTTTAGGAACCTCAAGCGCTCCCAGTAATTGAGGTATTTTATCTCCGTTATGCGCGCCGTGAAAGTTCTCTGTACATTTTCTAGGTCGGCAATTTCACCTGCCTTGAAAGGTGCTGTTAGTGTGCAGCAATATTCCAGCCTAGATAGAACAAGTGACCTGAAGAGTGTCATCATGGGCTTGGCCCCCCTAGTTTTGAAGGTTCTCATTATCCATCCTGTCATTTTTCTAGCAGATGCGATTGATACAATGTTATGGTCCTTGAAGGTGAGATCCTCCGACATGATCACTCCCAGGTCTTTGACGTTGGTGTTTCGCTCTATTTTGTGGCCAGAATTTGTTTTGTACTCTGATGAAGATTTAATTTCCTCATGTTTACCATATCTGAGTAATTGAAATTTCTCATCGTTGAACTTCATATTGTTTTCTGCAGCCCACTGAAAGATTTGGTTGATGTCTGCCTGGAGCCTTGCAGTGTCTGCAATGGAAGACACTCATGCAGATTCGGGTGTCATCTGCAAAGGAAGACACGGTGCTGTGGCTGACATCCTTGTCTATGTCGGATATGAGGATGAGGAACAAGATGGGAGCGAGTACTGTGCCTTGTGGAACAGAGCTTTTCACCGTAGCTGCCTCGGACTTTACTCTGTTGACGACTACTCTCTGTGTTCTGTTAGTGAGGAAATTATAGATCCATCGACCGACTTTTCCTGTTATTCCTTTAGCACGCATTTTGTGCGCTATTACGCCATGGTCACACTTGTCGAAGGCTTTTGCAAAGTCTGTATATATTACATCTGCATTCTTTTTGTATTCTAGTGCATTTAGGACCTTGTCGTAGTGATCCAATAGTTGAGACAGACAGGAGCGACCTGTTCTAAACCCATGTCGCCCTGGGTTGTGTAACTGATGGGTTTCTAGATGGGTGGTGATCTTGCTTCTTAGGACCCTTTCAAAGATTTTTATGATATGGGATGTTAGTGCTATTGGTCTGTAGTTCTTTGCTGTTGCTTTACTGCCCCCTTTGTGGAGTGGGGCTATGTATGTTGTTTTTAGTAACTGTGGGACGACCCCCGTGTCCATGCTCCCTCTCCATAGGATGGAAAAGGCTCGTGATAGGGGCTTCTTGCAGTTCTTGATGAACACAGAGTTCCATGAGTCTGGCCCTGGGGCAGAGTGCATGGGCATGTCATTTATCGCCTGTTCGAAGTCATTTGGCGTCAGGATAACATCGGATAGGCTTGTGTTAATCAAATTTTGTGGCTCTCTCATAAAAAATTCATTTTGATCTTCGACTCTCAGTCTGGTTAGCGGCTTGCTAAAAACTGAGTCATACTGGGACTTGAGTAGCTCACTCATTTCCTTGCTGTCATCTGTGTAGGATCCATCTTGTTTAAGTAGGGGCCCAATACTGGACGTTGTTCTCGATTTTGATTTGGCATAGGAGAAGAAATACTTTGGGTTTCTTTCGATTTCATTTATGGCTTTTAGTTCTTCCCGCGATTCCTGACTCCTAAAGGATTCTTTTAGCTTAAGTTCGATGCTTGCTATTTCTCTGACCAGTGTCTCACTACGCATTTCAGATATATTGACCTCTTTTAGCCGCTGTTATTCTTTTCCGTCGCCTGTAAAGGGAGCGCCTGTCTCTTTCTATTTTACATCTACTCCTCCTTTTTCTTAGAGGAATAAGCCTTGTGCAAACATCGAGTGCCACCGAGTTAATCTGTTCTAGGCATAAGTTGGGGTCTGTGTTGCTTAGTATATCTTCCCAGCTTATATCGGTTAGGAATTGGTTTACTTGGTCCCACTTTATGTTTTTGTTATTGAAGTTGAATTTGGTGAATGCTCCCTCGTGACTAGTCTCATTTTGTCGGTCTGGGGCTCCACGCATACATGTCTGAACCTCAATTATGTTGTGATCTGAGTATATTGTTTTTGATATGGTGACATTTCTTATCAGATCATCATTGTTAGTGAAGATGAGGTCTAGTGTATTCTCCAGTCTAGTAGGCTCTATTATTTGCTGGTTTAAATTGAATTTTGTGCAGAGATTTAAAAGCTCGTGTGAGTGTGAGTTTTCATCAGAGCTGCCTCCTGGTGTTATTACTGCAACAATATTATTTGCTATATTCCTCCATTTTAGGTGCCTTAAGTTGAAATCCCCCAGGAGCAAGATGTTGGGTGCAGGAGCTGGAAGATTTTCCAGACAGTGGTCAATTTTTAACAGCTGTTCCTGGAATTGCTGGGATGTTGCATCCGGAGGCTTGTAGACTACCACAATGACAAGGTTTTGGTTCTCGACCTTTACTGCTAAAATTTCCACTACATCATTTGATGCATTAAGCAGTTCTGTGCAAACAAGTGACTCTGCAATGTACAGGCCAACCCCCCCCCCCCTTTTGCCTGTTCACTCTGTCACATCTGTATAGGTTGTATTCGTTGTCCAAGTGATCCTTTATGTGGGTCTCAGTGAAAGCCGCGAACATTGCCTTTGCCTCTGCAAGCAGTCCACGGATGAAAGGTATTTTGTTGTTTGTTGCTGGCTTTAGACCCTGTATATTTGAAAAGAAGAATGTTATCGGACTGGTGGTATTGTTGGTACTGGGGGGGGGGATTTTTTTCCGGCATTAGTGAAAATGGTGACACTTTTCAAATCGCCTTGTTCTCTCATTTGGAATATTGTTCATTGTTGACCGCCCCATCCAGGGCAGGAGAAATATAATTTCTGAAACAAAAGCAGAGATCGTTTACGGCCCACATAGAGCCAATAAGGCATTTAAATTACTGGGAGCACCTTAAAGTCTTAAATATGAACTCAGTAGAGTAAAGAGATACATGAATTATGATAATATATACCTAGAAGGTACTTGAGGGCCTGATCCCAAATCTACACATTACCATAACAACATACTGGAGTGGGAGATGTGGAAGTGCAAAATAAGCCCAGTGAAAAGCAGAGGCACAGTGGGCACAATAAGGGAACGCTGCATATATATGCATGAGTATACATCTACACACCCATACACAGATACATATACATATGCAAAACAACCACAGGGAGAGTTGAATGATAGCTCTAGGCCTTTCGTTTTACACTCAACACATCATCAGGAGCTTGCATGGTTGCAGAAATGAGTAAGACGTCTCAGCAGATTTGGTCACGTACAGTTATAAGACCATGAGACCTATTTCAACCTTTCATAAAGATATTTATCATGATTAAAATGCAAAAAAAAAAAAAAAGTAACGCAGAACGGGAGAATTTGTTGCTGGATTAATTTACGGATCTTCAGCTTCCAATCCGGATTCTTCCCTGAAAACTTGATCCAAAATCCGGATTATCTTACCAGAACACCACAAGTTTTGTTTACGTTTCTCTACTTCCTCAATCCTTCGGAAATCATGTGAGACAATTTATTAGGGTACAATTTTACACAATTATGAATAATTACAATCGGCTGACTATGTAACATATGTGTAAATTATCAAAAATAATCTAGAAAAGGTCAAAGTGATTTTCACTGGGGTCTGTGATATATTTAAAAAACCAAATACAGTAAAAAGCCGTCATAATTGTTAATAATAAAACACATTAGAGTAATCAAATAGAAATAAACTAAGTAGATAAAGGCAATGACATCAGTTACATTGTGAGTTTTACAACTATTTTGAGGGCATACAGGTTTTATGGTCAGACAAGGTACATAATGTAGATTTAACTTTCTATTGAGGACTGTCTGTCTTATTTCCATTGTGGCCCTTAAATCTTGTCCCCCAGGATGCCACCCACACCAGTTCACTAACACCCAGGTACCTACTTACTGTTAGGTGAACAGGGACAGCAGGTGTAAGGAAACACACAAAATGTTTCCACCCTTGCCAGGGATCGAACCACGGACACTCAGTGTGTGAAACAAGCATTGTCTACCAGGCTCCGGGACACCGTATTGTATTTCTTTTTTTAATCTACGTGCCGTCAAAACCACCATAAAATTTAAGACTATATTTGTGAACATTTGTAGATTGTCCTCAGTAAATATAATCATGCCATATTATCTGGATTCAAAACTTGGTCTCAAAGTTTTGATTGGTAAGCAAGTTACAGTTCTTGTGATTTGTTTATAATAAGCATAATTAGTGTACTTAGTCAGTGAATTTACTAATGCTCCCTTCAAGAGGGGTATCTTGATGCTGGTGAAGGGCTCTTGATCCAAGGAATTGAAGTCACCCTCTGTTTCCTTAGATAAAGTTTGATTATCTCCTAGTGCAATTATAATAATACCAGGTAATACTACTACTACTACTAATTATAATAATAATTGCAAACATACGCAAATAACCCGCACATAAAAGAGAGAAGCTTAAGACGACGTTTCGGTCCGACTTGGACCATTTACAAAGTCACACTGTGACTTTGTAAATGGTCCAAGTCGGACCGAAACATCGTCGTAAGCTCCTCTCTTTTATGTGTGGGATATTTGTGTATCGTTCCAGCCACGGTATTGTGCCTTTTTTTGTTATTTAATTGCAAACATGGATGAATTCCATATTTGCATATTCGTTTTGTATAATAGCATATGGTTTTTACATACACATTTTAAATTTTGTGTAGTTTTCTTGAATACATGTGATGAATTTGATTCTAATATGCAATAATTTTTTACAGGAGATGTGAAGAATGTCAACTATGAGTGATAAAACAAGCTTGCCCAAGCACTGGGTACGAAAGACTTCACAACGTTGTCCCACTGCAACGTACTATTTCAACACCAAGACTGGCAAGTCTTCATGGATGCATCCAAGTCTTATTCCAGAAAGTGGTGAAAATGCTTCTGAAAAATTACAAAAGCAAAAAAAATCACCACTGAAAACTAAGAAAGTTAAGATGAAAGTAGCAAAATTGGAGAAGTGTTCCATTAATGAGCCTGAAGGAAATAAGGAAGAAGAAAAAGATGATGTTAAATACCAAGACTCGAAAATTACACATAATGAGAATTTAGACAAAGTTAGTCCTGTGGCTGAAGGTTGCAGTAATATTAACTCTGATAGTGATAAAGTAATAGAAGAACAGAAATGGAAAAATAGGACCCCTGTGAAATTTGTTATCAAGGCAAAAACAGACAGCAAAGTTTTAAGTGATGTGAAAGAAGACTCAGGAAAAGCAAGCAAAAACTCAGTGTCAATCCACCCTATTTTACTGAGAGCTCAAAAACTTGCAAAAACTACACAGTGGGTCAAGACAGAAGATATTTCACAGAAGAAAAAGACAACTCCAGAGGTGAAAGTAGATGTAAAACCACTCATTCTGGATGATAAGCTCAAGTGTAAGGAGCAAGTGGAATTAACTTTAACAAATAAAAGAAGAATTGCGAAGGCAAAGAAATCACAAGCTTCTAAAAAAGCAAAGAAGGATGAAGCGTTAATAAAGGCCATAATTAAGGAAATAAGCAGCAGTCCCATTAGAGATGAAGAGAGCAAGTCATCAAGGGAAAATATAAATGAAAGTGATAAGAAGAACAATATAAAAGATTATGATGTTTACAATTTTTTTATAAAATGCAAGGATGAGCCACAGTCACTTAAAAAGTCTTTGAAGAGGACTGAAGAACGACAGCCACTTGAAACGTCTTTGAAGAGGACTGAAGAACGACAGCCACTTGAAATGTCTTTGAAGAGGACTGAAGAACGACAGCCACTTGAAACGTCTTTGAAAAGGATTGAAGAACCACAGCCACCTAAAAAGTCTTTGCAGAGAACTAAAGAGAGACAAAAGAGTCCACGCCTTCCTATACCAGTATGTAAGCAAAAACTAGTTTGTGTGTTAGATGATGAAAATGACTATGACGAAGTTACTGCAATGGAAGTTGAAGAACAGGAGATCGTTAGTGAAATTGCTAACTTTCGGGAATCAGTCCATCACACACAAAAGACAGAGGGCATCCCATTAGTAACATCGAGCATCAACAGTAGCTCAAAATCTGTGTATATTGTGGTTGACACAAATGTTCTTATTCAAGATATAAATTTTATCGAAAGTCTCAAGACAAAAGAGATTGCTGGAAAAGAAGTTATAATCGTCATTCCCTACATCGCATTGCAAGAAATGGATGGGCTGAAAAAGAAGGAATCAATTGGCAAAGCATGCCAAGAAGCAATACGATGGTGCAACAACCATTTTGAAAAGAGTGACCCAAGAGTACAAGGACAGAGCTATGAGAATTACCGCAAAACTTTATCGAAGAGCCAGCGCCCTGTAAGTATGTACATGTGGTAAATTTGCATACATTTGTTGTTTTAGAGACATATCTTCTATAGGAAAATATGTAAGTGAAAGAATGTGTAAAAAAATCCTGATTTTGTTTACCACTGATTTTTTTATATTCCATGTCATCTGATTTCTTCATGTAAGTAATATAATTTTATGTTAGATTAGATTAATATAAATTAATCCAAATTAACCAATTCTAGTGGATGATAGCAATGAAATAAGAAAATATGTACCTCACTGAAGGGTATATTGATATTTTGTAACAGTGGCCTAGTAAATACTGAGAAGACCTTTCATTGCAGTGAATGTTGGGAAATAACCTCTGTCTTCAGTGGAGAATGTCGCTTTTTGAACAATTCTCAAAGTATTTATAAACATACATTTTCTGGACTTGAGTCCTGGAAATGGGAAGTACAGTGGACCCCCGCATAACGATTACCTCCGAATGCGACCAATTATGTAAGTGTATTTATGTAAGTGCGTTTGTACGTGTATGTTTGGGGGTCTGAAATGGACTAATCTACTTCACAATATTTCTTATGGGAATAAATTCGGTCAGTACTGGCACCTAAACATACTTATGGAGTGAAAAAATATCGTTAACCGGGGGTCCACTGTACAGTGCCTGCACTTTAAAGGAGGGGCTTGGGATATTAGCAGTTTGGAGGGACATCTGAACTGTTGTATCTGGGCGCCTCTGCAAAGATAGTGATTATGTATGAGTGATGGTGAAAATGTTGAATGATGATGAAAGTTTTTCATTTCTTTTTGGGTTTTTCTTTCTTTTTGGGTCACTGCCTTGGTGGGAGACGGCCGACATGTTAACAAAAAAAAAATTCATGGAAAAATAAGTTGTAATTGTGTCATCAGTGAGTTTAGTATTTCTGCATTACTACTGTATAGTGTAATTATTATCTACTTATCATTTAGTAAATGAAGACAAATGTTTAATTTTATGAAATTCATCATAAAAACTATTTGTATTTATTATTCAACACACTAACTATATTCCACTGAGGCAGGATGATCTAAAAAGAAAAAACTTTCATTTTTCATTTTAGTAATCATAAACCCTATGTATACAATTAATTTTGTCCAATAATTAAAACAGCTAGTGATTTTCAGAGTGGTGATGATCTCATCCGTGACTGCTGCCTGATCATGAAGGAACAAGGCCTTGAAGTATGCCTACTTTCAAATGACATTAACCTGAGGAATAAGGCAATTATGTCTGCCATTGTAGCACTTGGTATTCGAGGTCTTAGGCAGAAGCTTGAACAACATGAAATGGCTGTGAATATTGATGAAACCCGGGTGGATATTGTTTATGGAGATTTTGCTGCCAATAGTTTACATAATAAATCTGAAATACCCCTTGAATATGAAAAAATGATATGTGAAAGTAGTAATCTTAAGCAGATCAGAAAATCTCCTTCAACAAGTGAGGAAATTGAACTCAGCCCATTAAAAAAAATAAAAAAGTGCAATAGTGATAATCAAGAGTTGCTTTGTAAGATCAACACATCATTAAAAGTCACTCTAAGTCGGATCTTAGAATTTATAATGAAGGATACATATGGTGATCTTTGGATTAAGATAGTAATGCGTAAACCTCCTTGGAGTATCAATGATGTGTTTTCCTGTTGGGAAAAACATTGGATTGCAGTTATGTCTGATAGGTTTCCAGGAGAAGTAAAAGAACTGATAAAAAAGATCAAACGGATAGTTGAAGATTGCATGAAAGGAAGAGGTGATGTAAATACACTTGTTGCAAATGTTCAAAATCTATACAGTTTCTTTAAGGATGGCCAATTTAAAGACTATATTTTTCCCATTGGTGGGGAATCTTCTGAAACTGCAAACACGTTAGAAACTCAGAATGAAACCTCTGTGTCTTCCACTGAAATTCCAGAAGGTAACAGCGAGGACTCCATCAAACAACAGCCTTCCTCCAGTGGCATCAGAAATATTCAGATAATGATAAATCACGTTGGAGAACACATCACACACTTCATGTAAGTACCAGTAACATGTGAAGGGAAGGATGGGAGGTATGGGGGTTATTAAGGCCAGTAAAGAACTCTTTATCAAAGAAACTGGAGCTGCCCTTCCCTTCCTCGCATCAAACCTGATTACCTCCCTTGTTTAGTGCTTATATACAGGCAGGTCCCACTTATACAACAGGTTACGTTCCGGGCTGCTGCTGCAAAGTGAAAATCGCTATAAAGCGAAACATAGCCTTTTTTCACTTTCATATGAATATAAAAGCTTGATTACATGTATACTGTATACTATCATATATTAAGTGAGCGACAGAGCTAGGCCTCAGAAATGTATATACAGTGCACACATTACTTACCTTAAAATATTTTCATCCTGAGCTTACAGTGATTGGTGAATACAGTATATTTATTGTAGGAAGTCTGAATAAATGAAGAATAGGTATAATTGAAAACCGCTGCATTAGCAAAATACCATACAGCAAAGTGCTGTATGGTATTTTGTGGGTCTTGCTTGTACAGTACAATGCTGTGTAGCTTGTAGCATGTACCTGGTTGTGAAACACATTTTAATAGTTTGCTCATGGCTTAGGTCTTTCTGCCTTCATCATGATTTTTATAATTTCTGAGGTGTCTGCAGAGACCTCAAGTAACTTTTAGAGTGTTGACACTAGTAATTTATTGGGATTTTTAACCAATGCTGGGCATTTTAATCTGGGATGATGCTATTTACTCATGATGAGCATTTTATATACATGTTCATGTTTTAATTGTTGCTTAATTTGATTTTTTTTATTGTGTGTTGCATATAATTTTTTATTGCCCTCTGGCAAGACAGTGATGGAATAAGTGGTGGTGAAAGTGTTTCTTATTTTTTGGGGCCACCCTACCTTGGTGGGAGATGACCAGTTTGTTTAAAAAAAAAAATGAATGCTGAGTGACCTATACAGCCAAAGTGCTCAGTAAATATCATTAATACTGCTATTACTTAGTACAGCACTACTTAAATTAGGTATTGTATCACAATGATAGTTATAACTGATTCCTAATGTTACATTTCAGAGCTCTGATACTAGATGCCTATGGAATTGCACACAGTTTGCCAACACTAAATGAGAAAAGGATAACTCGAGAGGATGCCCAAAACAGCAGCATAAACTTGCACAATGTTACCATGCGGCTAGGAACTACAATTGCCAGGTAAACTGGAAAATAATCTTTATTTTATATTTCCAAGGCACTGTATGAATATAATAATAATTTTTTTTCAACATAATGGCTTGGATGTCCAGCAGGTGTATTGAGCATGTTAGAAGAAATGAGTGGAGGTAAAGTGGTTTTTTTATGACTTGAGTGCTGTTGGGTGTGAGAAAATTAAATTTGTGAAGGGTTTGGGGAAACGGGTTAGCAAGACTTGAGTCCTGGAGGTTGGAAGTATAGTGCCTGCACTCTGAAGGAGGGGTGGAGATACAGTGGTACCTCAAGTTATGAACTTAATTCGTTCCAGAAGGCTGGTCGAGTGCCGATACCGAACGAATTTGTTCCCATAAAGAATAATGTAAATTAGATTAGTCCATTTCAGATCCCAAAAAAATACACTTACAAAAGCACTTACAAAAATACACTTGCAAAAGCACTTACAAAAATACACTTTCATAATTGTTCTAGTTGGGAGCGGTACGAAACTCGAGGTACCACTGTATATGCAGTTTGGAGGGGCATCTGAACTGTAGTATCAGCATGCCTCTGGCAAGACAGTAATAGAGTGAGTGATGGTGAAAGTGTTTCCTCTTTTTCAGGTCACCCTACCTCAGTGGGAGATGACTGGTGTGTTAAACATAATACAGGTCCACATTCCTTTATCCCAAACTCTTGGGGCCAGTAGTGTTATGAATTTCAGAATATTTTGAATTTCAGAATGAAGGTGGGGGTTTAGGGCAGACTTCATAATAAAAATTTTAAACACGCAGCAAATTTTATGAATACTCACACTAAGTGGGGTAAATAAAAACTATAAATACTACTACAGTTTATTTATGGAGTAATATATTGATAAATGAAATAATGGGATAATCATAGACCAGGAATGTGATTCTCAAGACGATTGACGAGGGCTATTTAAAGATTCTTCAATGCATCTGTTTATTAACCCGAAAAACGGTCCAAACGTAATATACGTTTTTTCAACATTTAAAAAGTATGTAAAAAAAGTAGATTTTTTTTTTTTTTGTATTTTGAAAAACGTGAAAAAAAAAAACTTTGATTACTTTTTTTTTTGTTATATTTGAAAATATGAAAAAAAAAAATGTAATCTATTTTTGGAGCACTACGCTGTAAACATAGACTGTTTTGGCCGTTTAGGGGTTAAGTGGTTTCTTTTAAAGAAATCTCCTTTAACTGAAAATTGCCATAATCTTTTGCTCACTGAGACACAACTGACACCTGCCACTCTGGCTGTCAGTGCTGGGTCACACCGCCAAGTGGCGGCATTGGAGCTATGTAGAGATGACTGACGCTCCACACTCCATGAAAAAACTTACAATACAGTACAGTAATAATATTTTACTAGAGAATTTAATGAACATGGATTTTTATAAATTTATGAGTTATTGAGCTGTAATTTTTTTAATACACAGGCTGTCTCCCACTGAGGTAGGGTGACTATAAACAGGAAACACATTCACAGACATCACAATTCATTTGACCCTCCAAACTACAATATCCCCACCCATCTTTCAGAGCACAGGTGCTGTACTTCCCACCTCTGGTCCTGGAGTCCAACTTATTGGTTTTCTTGCATTCCTTTATCAATGTCACCTTTCTCACACTCCAGCAGGATGCCGAGCCATAAAAACTACTTGTCTTAAAGATAAAAATAAAGATTTTATTTCTTTGCAAAGGTTACAATGTGTAATTACAATTTTGATTTGTTAAGTAAAAAGAAAGCCATTATCATGCCAGGGCATTTCTGGCAGACTAATCCTTATACTTAAAATACAGTGGACCCCCAGTTAACGATATTTTTTCATTCCAGAAGTATGTTCAGGTGCCAGTACTGACCGAATTTGTTCCCATAAGGAATATTGTGAAGTAGATTAGTCCATTTCAGACCCACAAACATGCACGTACAAACGCACTTACATAAATACACTTACATAATTGGTCGCATTGGGAGGTGATCGTTAAGCGGGGGTCCACTGTATTCAAAATGTTCTAAGATACATGCACAATCTGTTGAATACTTTGGCCCCTAGCACTTTAAACCTCATTTACCCCTCTCCCTCCTACCATTCCTAGGATGACCACTACCAATTCTTCCTTCCACCCAAGATTTTATACACTCTCTTGGTCATCATTTTCTTCTTCATCCTCTGTAAATACTGAAACCAAATCAGCAAGGCCTTCTTAGCCCTCCAAATTATACCCATACTATCTTCTAATCTCCATGCTCCAAATTCTCTGCATAATATTCACACCACACATTGCTTTGGAGACAAATGGTTTTTAGAATTTGACGTGCTGTTGAAGTGTGAGCAAGGTAACATTTATGAAGGGATTCAGGAAAACTGGCAGGCCGGACTTGAGTCCTGGAGATGGGAAGTACGGTGTCTGCACTCTGAAGGAGGGGTGTTAATGTTGCAGTTTTATAACTGTAGTGTAAGTGCACCTCTGGCAAAACAGTGATGGAGTGAATGATGATGAAAGTTTTTTTTTTTTTTTTCAGGCCACCCTACCTTGGTGGGAAATGGCTGATGTGTTAATAAAAAAAAAAATAAAAAAATTGCTTTCAAACACTTGCCCTTCACTGCCTCCAGCTTCCTTATGACAATGTTTAAGGCCCATGCCTCACACCCAGATAAAATTGTTGGTATCGCTCTACACTCTGGTACATTCCACTATTTGCCTCCATAAACAAACCTTTCTTTCCACAGATGCCTCAGTGCACCACCCACCTTTTTTTCCTCGTCTGTTTTATGGTTTACTTCATTTCTCATACACCCATCTGTTAGTGTGTTCACTCTTAAATCTCTAAATATATTCACCTCTCCATACTTCCTTCTAATAACCAATCTTTCATTGCAAGTCTGCCCTTTTTGTTATTTTCATCAGTGTGTTCTTTACTGTGTTCAGTCTTAATTGCCCTCTTTTATATACCCTCCCAAAGTCTTCTATTAACCTTTGCACCTTCTTTTCAAAATCTCCCGAAAGAACTGTGCCATTGTCAAATAGCAACTGTGACAGCTCCCACTTTGTATCAGATTCATTACTTTTTAATCCCACAGCTCTTCCCTAACACCCAAGTATCCTCTTCTTTTGTGACCCATCTATATGTTAAACAACCATGGTGAAATCATGCAGGCCTGTCTGAGGCTTACTTTTACTGGGAAATAGTTCTCCTTGCTCCTACATACCCTAACCTGAGCTTCACTATTCACATAAAACCTCTCCTGCTTTTATTTATCTCTCCTCTATTCCATATATTTGCAACATCTGCCACAATGCTCCCGTATCCACAGTATCATATACCTTTTCTGAATCCATAAATCCAAATAACAGTTTTTTACTTTTATCTCAGTATTGTAATTTTAGGTGTGACAAAAGTTTTGTATATACAGTACTATTATTGATTTCTAGCGATTAGCTAAAAATTCAGCACTCAAGAGCCTTATCAGAAACCATTTTTCTTATACCAGCAACCTAATTTTATGGATTTAGATTGCATTAAGCATCTTTCATAGCTACTTTAAAGAGAGATTACAGAGATAACTTTTTGCATTTATTTCAGACAATCTTCCCTCCTCACCAGTTGGCAGATATATATTGCAACTTTCAAATTTTATTGTAATAATGCAGGAGAAAAATATCTTTATCTGTGCCTTAGAAAATTGTCTTCAACTATTTTTTTCAGGTCATTAAATGAAGGGACAATGGATTTACTTCAAGAATTTGGGAACCTTCTTATCAATTTTTGGGTGGATGCAAAGGAACCCTGCCCAAACTTGCCTTTCACAGAAGAGGATTTAGCACAATATGTTGCGTCTACAAATGGTCGGCATTTCCTTCAGTTAACATTAGGTGAACTGGAAAGATTGCTTGCCCTGCTTATATCTGCAGTTAACAGTTAATACTTTATTATTGATTTAAAATTCATTTGATATTGATTTTACACGTTTTGACTTTTTTTTTGGTTTTTAACACATTGGCTGCCTCCCACCGAAGCAGGGTGACCCAAAAAAAAAAAAGAAACACTTACACCATCATTCAACACTTTCGCCATCATTTACACAATATCACTGTTTTTGCAGAGATGCCCAGATATGACAGTTTAGATGTCACTCCAAACAGCCTTTATCCCAAATTCCTCCTTTAAAGTGCAGGCATTGTACTTCCCACCTACAGAACTCAAGTCCAGCTAACCGGTTTCACTGAATCCCTTCACAAAATCTTACCCTGCTCACACTCAAACAGCTTGTCAGGTCCCAAAAACTATTCATCTCCATTCACTCCTATCTAACATACTCACACATGCCTGCTGCATGTCCAGGTCCCTTGCACACAAAACCTCTTTTACCCCCTCCCTTCATCCATTCCTAGGATGACCCTTACCCCTCCTCCCCTCCACTACAGATTTATACACCCTCCAAGTCAACCCATTTTGCTCTATCCTCTGTAAATGACCAAACCACCTCAGTACTGTATTTTATTCAGTATGTTTCTAGTCACATTATGGATGTTCAGGTTAGTTTTGTAAATATGTCAGCACATTTCTTAGAAGATACCTTGAGCTTCCATAGCATAGTTGATACTTATGAATATTTACATGAAATATGATTCTGTTTTAATTATATGTAATATGGTGCTTTCAGATGAATAATAAACAAAGTTGTACATTCCTTAAATTACAATCAATAAAGTATTGATGAAAATGAAAGAACACATTCATTCAAATATATATCATTTCATAATTAAGAATTTGTATTGCAGTGTTTTATATCAGTACGACCCCATTATCACGGACTCATTTGGGCCAGGAGCTTTGTGATGCATATCCTGTCTTGTCCTCATCCTCCTAACATGTGTATAGTAGTATACATATAAATATATGCAATTTAATTCTTTAACATTGAGGATTTTGAGGCTACATCATTATATTTCTTGAAGGATGTGTTAAACATAGCTGTTTTAACCTTCGTTGTCTTTGGAGAAGATGCTGTGCCTGGAACTGTAATGAATGTTAGGCTATGCATACCTGTTTTGCGGGTAGATGAGGTCCTGAGAAGGGAAATGAATGTTAGGTTAGGTATACCTCATCTAGGTAAACTTAACTAGTTTCAGTTCCTCTCCATGTAATAATAACAGCATGCCCTGCTACAATCCTTAACCTTTGAAAAAACAAATGCTAAGGGCACATTTTCTTTCAGATAGGTCCTCTTTGCATATACAGGTGCTCCTTGGCATATGATGGGATTACTTTCCAACAAACCCATCGTAAGTTGAAAATATCATATCAGAGATGAATATGATATGCTAAATAAATAAGTAAATAAATAACTACTGTCACTGAATGAGTAAATAAACAAATAATTACTCTTAGTAACTGTATACCAGCATTAAAAAGTATATAAATGAATACAAGTTACGGCTCATGAAATCATAATGACATGATTGTATGGTTGTATGGCTTACAAGTTACGGGCTTGCTGCCTTCATGCTGGGTAATTATCTCAAGTTACATCTCCAAAGTAACTGCTTTTGCACCATCGTAAAGTCATAGTATCATAAGTCGAGGACCACCTGTGCATGGGGAAGTGGAACAAAATTCTTCCTCCATAAGCCATGCATGTCATAAGAGGCGGCTAACATGCCGGGAACAAGGGGCTAGTAACCCCTTCTCCTGTATACATTACTAAAGTTAAAAAGAGAAACTTTCATTTTTCTTTTTCAGTCCCCCTGCCTTGGTGGGATACAGCCAATTTGTTGAAAGAAGAAGAATTAGTCTTGCCTTGTGTTATCACTATATATACTAAAGTGTGTTTAATGTGACAATAACTGAACACTTAGACATCTCACTCGAAACAAGCAATTCTTTGATATTCCTCACATTCACCTGAAACTCTGTAGAAACTTGATACTAATAAAAGGGTTAAAAATGTGGAATAACTCATCAGATGAGCTAAGCATTGTAATATATTTAATTCAAATGAAAACTGTTGGCTTAATCTGTTTTCTTGAAATAATTTTTAATTCTTCTTTCAACAAGCCAGTCGTATCCCATCGAGGCAGGGTGGCCCTATAAAGAAAAATGAAAGTTTCTCTTTTAAAATCTAGTAATGTATACAGGAGAAGGAGGTTACTAACCCCTTGCTTCCAGTATTTTCGTCACCTCTTACAACATGCATGGCTTATGGAGGAAGAATGCTGTTCCAATAATTTTTAATGTAACTCCTTAAATGGCTATTAAATTTATATTTTCAAGTTATAAAATATGCTATGTTCTTTATTTTTTTATAATTTAATCATATTTTCAGTCAATATTGCATCATTACTTCCCTATTTGCTCTATAATTCTCATAAGTTAGATTTCAGTTTTCACTAAGATTTGCATTACAATACAGTACGTATTTTATAATTTATAAATAAATTTAGTGTGTATTACATATACTGTATATACTGACATCCAGTGTATTTTTTTATTTTTTATTGTTGATATTAATCACAACATAAGTTTGTTGGAAAAGCTATGCGTAACAATATTTTTTCATTGTTTATTTCCCTGCAAAGCTTACAATGTGCGGTTTACATATTATAAAATATTAATTACAAAGAAGGCCACTAGCATGCCTAGCTAGTGGTTAGTTGTAGAAATAATGTATTTTCTTGGGAAGTAAGGTTATCAGTGTCATGTGGGAAACAGCTAGTGTGTTAATTTTTTTTTTGCAATAATGCTTGTAATATATCCTTGAATTTATGCTCGACAGATTTATTACGTATGTTGGTGTACAGTACATACATATATACTGTGTATTTATGGGGAAGCAATAAATCTGTGAATGTTATACAGCATCTCAGAAATAGGCGATGATGAGGTTTGATCCAAGAAGGGGGAGGGTAGCTCCAATTTCTTGGATCAAAAGCCCTTGACAGGCATGCTTGTAGGGTGCTCTACAATCATAGTAACATCAAGGATGCTGTCTTGTGCACTATGCATTATTATACTCCAGGGGAAGCTCTAGACCCATAGAGATGATTATACCACTTGAGAAATGGGTGATAATTGGTTTTGATCCAAGGAAAATGAGGACTCCCAATTCCTTGAATCAAGAAAGGGGTCTTGGATACATAAATTGTCAGTGGCTGAAGTGTTTGGGAAAGGCTCTGCTTGTGGTTTAGAGATTCTCAAATCACAAAAGGGAACAAGAAATTGAGGATGTGTTACTATCATTATTAGTTTTATTATTGGAGAAAGCACTAACCTGTTTGGGTCAAACAGTGCTATCAAAGATGTACAGTAAATTTAAGTTTTCAGTGGTTTTCATTTTATCCTACTCACTGTATGTACTCAGGATTATACCCTCCATTATATGCATCAAGATACATGCCTTTATCATCACTGATGCTGTTGTATCAGTCTGATAAACTTTATTATGATTTTATATATTGAATACATATACAGTAATAAATAAAGGGAATGAATGAATTATGGTGAATGTGTTTCCTTTTCTGGTCAGTCTACCTTGGTAGGGAAAGGGCCAGTGTTAAAAAATAAAATGTATATATATGAACAGGTCTTTGACACTCCCACTTCATCATACTGGGACTGGTGTAATGTTGTATGTGAGGTGATATCTCAACCTTATAAGCCTTCTACTGTTCTATTATTTTTTCAGGCCCTTGATAATGTGAGAAATCACGAAAGCACTTGGACGTTCATTATTTTTCACAGTGGTTGTTTTGTATATTGTAATGTCACCTATTTACTGTGATATTATTACACGAACTTAGTAAATACTTTATCTGTATTTTGGGCTTCATTGTCAACAAGGCATCTCCTTAAGGGACCAGAGTTATGACAGGGTTGATATACTGAATTTTCAACACTGAAGGCACACTGGGACTAAGAAGACATGGTCACATTATTAAAGGTACAGTATTAAGATATATTGAGCAGATATATTGAGAGGACATATCAACTAAATAAGCAGAATGATGGACAAAAGGCTCGAACTGTGGTCCCAAAATTGGGACTACAGTTCAAGCCTTCATCCATCCTTCTGTTTATTCATTGACAGTCATTTATTAAAACTTAATCTGAGATTTAAGAAGGGACTTCCTCAGTGTGTGGGTCTTCCTGAAAACTTAACATGACTCAGCCCATTATCAATGCACTGCTCTTACCAGCTCCATCTATAAGTTGTTGATGTGCTGTTTGACCCTAGTGGGTTTAGCACTTGCTTTTGATTATAATAATAATGAACCATATGGTAAAGCTGTGTAGTATTTTGAGATCTGTAATTCATTTGTTTGGTTACTGAATGTTATTCCTCTGCTAATCAAGTCAGTTTGCATTGCACATGAGATCTCCCTCTATGAATCCCCTATTATAACTTGCCACATTGCAGAATTCCTTGGCCATTTTTGCAATTGCCATTTTGTGAAAATATAAGATAACCTCTCTTAAGACTGTCTTGCAAGTTAAATCTACTCTAGATATTTCTTTCCTCCTGCAGAGCTGATTGACAGACCCTTTTTTATTTTCATTTGGCCTTGGCCTATGCAGTTATTTTATTCATGGAATCATGGGGAGGGGCTGAAGCTGAAGAAATCATACAGCACTTGGAGAATGGGAGGTAAGATAAGGTTTGTTTGGATTTTTAACCCTGGAGGGTTAGCCACCCAGGATAACTCAAGAAAGTCAGTGTGTCATCGAAGACTGGCTGTCTTATTTCCATTGGGGTCCTCAATCTTGTCCCCCAGGATATAACCCACACCAGTTGACTAACACCCAGGTACCTACTTGCTAGGTGAACAGGACAACAGGTGCAAGGAAATGTGTTGAATGTTTCCACCCCGCTGGGAATCGAACCCGGACCCTCAGCATGTGAAGCGGGAGCTTTGCCAACCAAGCCATGGGACCCCATAAACAGGTTTGATTCGAGGAAAGCATATCTAAAGTTCCTTGGATTATATTTAAGTTTCAGTTGATAACTTTATTATGGGGATTATCTAAAAAAAAAAAAAATTTTTGTTTCAATTATTTTTTTAAGAAAATATTTTTTTCAGAGGGATGTCAGGAAATATTTCTTCAGCCTCAGGGTGGGCAGTAAGTGGAATAATAATAATATCTTTATTTGCTACAAGTACATGTAATGGTATACAGGCCTTGTTGACATCAGTGACATAATACTATATAGAAAGCCTCTCAGAAAGCCTGGTCAGTTTTGTCCCAGGATGCAACCCACATCAGTCGACTAACACCCAGGTACCCATTTTAATGATGGGTGAACACAGACAACCGGAGTAAAGAAACACGCCCAATGTTTCTACCCTGGCTGGGAATTGAACCCAGACCCCTCGCTGTGTGAAGTCAGAGCTTAAGCCACCAGGCCACGGCGCCATAAGAATGACGTGGATGAGGTAATGAAGACAAGCTCCATACACAGTTTTAGCAGTATGAATGACAGAGCCCATGAGGGTAGAAAAGCATAAATATGTACAGCAGCAGGTTAAGAATCAGGCCCAGGAGCTAAGGCTCAATCCCTACCAACACAAATAGGTCGGTGAAAAATTATGTATGTACATATATATATATATATATATATATAGGTAGTAGGTTGGTAGACAGCAACCACCCAGGGAGGTACTACCGTCCTGCCAAGTGAATGTAAAACAAAAGCCTGTAATTGTTTTACATGATGGTAGGATTGCTGGTGTTTTTTGTCTGTCTCATAAATATGCAAGATTACAGGTATGTCTTGCTACTTCTACTTACACTTAGGTCACACTACACATACATGTACACGTTTATTTATACACACTCATCTGAGTTTTCTTTGATTTTATCTTAATAGTTCTTGGTCTTATTACTTTTCCTTTTATATCCATGGGGAAGTGGAATAAGAATCTTTCCTCCATAAGCCATGCGTGTTGTAAAAGTCAACTAAAATGCCGGGAACATTGGGCTAGTAACCCCTTTTCCTGTAAAGATTACTAAAAAGAATAAGAAGAAAATTGTCAAAGTGGGAAGTCTGAATGTGCGTGGTTGTTGTGCAAATGATAAGAAATAGATGATTGTGGATGTTATGAATGAGAAGAAACTGGATGTCCTGGCTTTAAGTGAAACAAAGCTGAAGGGGATGGGAGAGTTTCATTGGAGAGGAATAAATGGGATTAGGTCAGGGGTTTCAAATAGAGTTAGAGCTAAAGAAAGAGTAGCAATAATGTTGAAGGATAAGCTATGGCAGGAAAAGAGGGACTATAAATGTATTAATTCAAGGATTATGTGGAGTAAAATGAAGGTTGGATGTGAAAAGTGGGTTACAGTAAGTGTATATGCACCTGGAGAAGAGAGAAGTGTAGAGGAGAGAGAGAGATTTTGGGAAATGTTGAGTGAATGCGTGGGGAGTTTTGAACCAAGTGTGAGAGTACTTGTGGTTTGGGATTTCAATGCTAAAGTGGGTAAAAATGTTGTGGAGGGAGTAGTAGGTAAATTTGGGGTGCCAGGGGTAAATGTATATGGGGAGCCTTTAATTGAGCTATGTGTAGAAAGAGATTTGGTAATAAGTAATACATATTTTATGAAAAAGAGGATAAATAAATATACAAGGTATGATGTAGCACGTAATGAAAGTAGTTTGTTAGATTATGTATTGGTGGATAAAAGATTGATGGGTAGGCTCCATGATGTACATGTTTATAGAGGGGCAACTGATATATCGGATCATTATTTAGTTGTAGCTACAGTTAGAGTAAGAGGTAGATGGGACAAGAGGAAGGTGGCAACAACAAGTAGGAGGGAAGTGAAAGTGTATAAACTAAGGGAGGAGGAAGTTCGGGTGAGATATAAGCGACTATTGGCAGAAAGGTGGGCTAGTGCAAAGATGAGTAGTGGGGGGGGGGGGGTTGAAGAGGGTTGGATGAGTTTTAAAAATGCAGTATTAGAATGTGGGGCAGAAGTTTGTGGTTACAGGAGGGTGGGGGCAGGAGGAAAGAGGAGTGATTGGTGGAATGGTGAAGTAAAGGGTGTGATAAAAGAGAAAAAGTTAGCTTATGAGAGGTTTTTACAAAGCAGAAGTGTTATAAGAAGAGCAGAGTACAGTGGACCCCCGCTTAACGATCACCTCCAAATGCGACCAATTATGTAAGTGTATTTATGTAAGTGCGTATGTACGTGTATGTTTGGGGGTCTGAAATGGACTAATCTACTTCACAATATTCCTTATGGGAAAAAATTCGGTCAGTACTGGCACCTGAACATACTACTAGAATGAAAAAAGTTCGTTAACCGGGGGTCCACTGTATATGGAGAGTAAAAGAAAGGTGAAGAGAGTGGTGAGAGAGTGCAAAAGGAGAGCAGATGATAGAGTGGGAGAGGCACTGTCAAGAAATTTTAATGAAAATAAGAAAAAATTTTGGAGTGAGTTAAACAAGTTAAGAAAGCCTAGGGAATGTATGGATTTGTCAGTTAAAAACAGAGTAGGGGAGTTAGTAGATGGGGAGAGGGAGGTATTAGGTAGATGGCGAGAATATTTTGAGGAACTTTTAAATGTTGAGGAAGAAAGGGAGGTGGTAATTTCATGCACTGGCCAGGGAGGTATACCATCTTTTAGGAGTGAAGAAGAGCAGAATGTAAGTGTGGGAGGTACGTGAGGCATTACGTAGAATGAAAGGGGGTAAAGCAGCTGGAACTGATGAGATCATGACAGAAATGTTAAAAGCAGGGGGGGATACAGTGTTGGAGTGGTTGGTACTTTTGTTTAATAAATGTATGAAAGAGGGGAAGGTACCTAGGGATTGGCGGAGAGCATGTATAGTCCCTTTATATAAAGGGAAGGGGGACAAAACAGATTGTAAAAATTATAGAGGAATAAGTTTATTGAGTATACCAGGAAAAGTGTAAGGTAGGGTTATTATTGAAAGAATTAGAGGTAAGACAGAATGTAGGATTGCAGATGAGCAAGGAGGTTTCAGAGTGGGTAGGGGATGTGTAGATCAAGTGTTTACATTGAAGCATATATGTGAACAGTATTTAGATAAAGGTAGGGAAGTTTTTATTGCATTTATGGATTTAGAAAAGGCATATGATAGAGTGGATAGGGGAGCAATGTGGCAGATGTTGCAAGTATATGGAATAGGTGATAAGTTACTAAATGCTGTAAAGAGTTTTTATGAGGATAGTGAGGCTCAGGTTAGGGTGTGTAGAAGAGAGGGAGACTACTTCCCGGTAAAAGTAGGTCTTAGACAGGGATGTGTAATGTCACCATGGTTGTTTAATATATTTATAGATGGGGTTGTAAAAGAAGTAAATGCTAGGGTGTTCGGGAGAGGGGTGGGATTAAATTATGGGGAATCAAATACAAAATGGGAATTGACACAGTTACTTTTTGCTGATGATACTGTGCTTTTGGGAGATTCTAAAGAAAAATTGCAAAGGTTAGTGGATGAGTTTGGGAGTGTGTGTAAAGGTAGAAAGTTGAAAGTGAACATAGAACAGAGTAAGGTGATGAGGGTATCAAATGATTTAGATAAAGAAAAATTGGATATCAAATTGGGGAGGAGGAGTATGGAAGAAGTGAATGTTTTCAGATACTTGGGAGTCGACGTGTCGGCGGATGGATTTATGAAGGATGAGGTTAATCATAGAATTGATGAAGGAAAAAAGGCAAGTGGTGCATTGAGGTATATGTAGAGACAAAAAACGTTATCTATTAAGGCAAAGAAGGGCATGTTTGAAAGTATAGTAGTACCAACACTCTTATATGGGTGTGAAGCTTGGGTTGTGAATGCAGCAGCTTGGAGGCGGTTGGAGGCGGTGGAGATGTCCTGTCTAAGGGCAATGTGTGGTGTAAATATTATGCAGAAAATTCGGAGTGTGGAAATTAGGAGAAGGTGTGGAGTTAATAAAAGTATTAGTCAGAGGGCTGAAGAGGGATTGTTGAGGTGGTTTGGTCATTGAGAGAGAATGGATGAAAGTAGAATGACATGGAGAGCATTTAAATCTGTAGGAGAAGGAAGGCGGGGTAGGGGTCGTCCTCGAAAAGGTTGGAAGGAAGGGGTAAGGGAGGTTTTGTGGGCTAGGGGCTTGGACTTCCAGCAGGCTTGCATGAGCATGTTCGATAGGAGTGAATGGAGACGAATGGTATTTGGGACCTGACGAGCTGTTGGAGTGTGAGCTGGGTTATATTTAGTGAAGGTATTCAGGGAAACCGGTTATTTTCATATAGCCGGACTCGAGTCCTGGAAATGGGAAGTGCAATACCTGCACTCTAAAGGAGGGGTTCGGGATATTAGCAGTTTGGAGGGATATATTGTGTATCTTTATACGTACATGCTTCTAAACTGCTATATTCTGAGCACCTCTGCAAAAACAGTGATTATGTGTGAGTGAGGTGAAAGTGTTGAATGATGAAAGTATTTTATTTTTGGTGATTTTCTTTCGTTTTGGGTCACCCTGCCTCGGTGGGAGACGACCGACTTGTTGAATTATATACATACATACATACATTATATATATATATATTATATATATATATATATATATATATATATATATATATATATATATATATATAATATTATATATATATATATATATTATATATATATATATATATATATATATATATATATATATATAATATAGATAGATAGATAGATAGATAGATAGATAGATAGACAGATATATAGATAATGGTTTAATAACATTTAATGTCATAAAACATTATTAAATTTAGTGAATGCGAGTGGGAGATCACTGAACTAAAACACTATGGGGGGTGGACATAACAGAGTGCTCAGGGGAGACCTCCTCAATACATTCTACCTCTGCTGAAACATTATCAAAGTTCTACATTTTCATAAAGGAAATTAACATAATTGCTTGAAAGATTAGAATAATAATGAGAAAATCGTGACCGCACACCAGCGACTTTACCATGGTGGCCTTACAAGTGCTGGACGTACGAACATTACTTAATTCCATAAAGATAGGAAAAAGTACACGAGGTGATGGACTTTGAAGTTTGGATTAGACATATAGAGGATGATCTGGGGCATGTTATAAGGCAGATAATTTGATTTGATATCAATTTACGAGATGTTTTCCTCAAGTGTCGGCAACAATCTGGGTGGAAAAGCTTGGTGTCGTTGTTATTGTGGCCACGATGTTATTATTATATGTGACCTGTGGACGTATTTAACGAAGATAATTAAGGTAAGATTGAGCTATGATATGAGTAGATAGATGGAGCATACACGGGAGGGGTCATAGTGGCCGGGGAAGCCGCGGAGATGACTGGTAATTGTGTTTAAAGTATGAGGAAGTGGTGTAGTGGCATCGCTCACTATTTGATGATCTGTAATGGGGTAATTAAATGTACACATACACAGGCACTTGAGGATGTGACCTTTGTACCTCTGGGAATGTTGACCTGGAGGTGGGGGGGGGATGTGACCTTTGTACTTGTGGGAATGTTGACCTGGAGGTGGGGGGGGGGCTGCTTATACTAGTACTGCTAGTCTCACTAAGTTGTTTCTAAACACGTACACACACATACATGAACGTATACACACATATACGTACACATACACGTACACATACACGTACACATACACACACACGTACACACACATACATACACGTACACGGCGGGGCCAGGAGCTCGGACTCGACCCCCGCAACCTCAACTAGGTGAGTACGGACTCGACCCCCGCAACCTCAACCATGTGAGTACATACACGTACACATACACGTACACATACACGTACACACACACGTACACACACGTACACATACACGTACACACACGTACACATACACGTACACGTACACATACATGTACACACATATACGTACACATACACGTACACACACACGTACACACACGTACACACACGTACACATACACGTAGACACGTACACACATACACATACCCCTGAAACCTCAACTAGGCAAGTACACATACACGTACATACGTACACATATGTACACATATACGTACACACATACGTACACATACGTACACACATACGTACACATATACGTACACGCATATACGTACACACATATACGTACACACATATACGTACACACATATACGTACACACATATACGTACACACATATACGTACACACATATATGTACACACATATATGTACACACGTACACACATACGTACACACATATGTACACACATATACATACACACATATATGTACACATATACGTACACACATACGTACACATATATGTACACACATACGTACACACACATACATACACACACATACATACACACACATACGTACACACACGTACACACATGTACACACATGTACATACACATGTACACACACGTACACACACACGTACACACACGTACACACACACACACACACACACACACACACACACACACACACACACACACACACACACACACACACACACACACACACACACACACATGTACACACACACATATACACACACACATACACATATACATATACTCACACATACACATATACTCACACATACACATATACTCACACACATACACATATACACACACACACACACACACACACACACACACACACACACACACACACACACACACACACACACACACACACACACACACACACGGGAACCATACATAGTTTTAAGGCGAGGTATGATAGAGCTCATGGGGCAGGGAGAGAGAGGACCTAGTAGCAATCAGCGAAGAGACGGGGCCAGGAGCTGTGAATCAACCCCTGCAACCACAAATCGGTGAGTACAAATAGGTGAATACACACACACACACACACACACACACACACACACACACACACACACACACACACACACACACACACACACACACAGGGGTCCTGAGAGAGGGAGCAGAGGCGCTATGTGTACCCCTAACAACAATATTCAATACATCTATTGAAACAGGGAGATTGCCTGAGGCATGGAAGAAAGCAAATGTGGTCCCAATCTTTAAAAAAGGAGACAGACATGAAGCACTAAACTACAGACCAGTGTCACTGACATGTATAGCATGCAAAATCATGGAAAAGATTGTCAGGAGAAGAATGGTGGAACATCTAGAAAGGAATGATCTCATCACCAGCAGACAACATGGTTTCAGAGACGGGAAATCCTGTGTCACAAACCTACTGGAGTTCTATGACATGGTGACAGCAGTAAGACAAGAGAGAGAGGGGTGGGTGGATTGCATTTTCTTGGACTGCAAGAAGGCGTTTGACACAGTACCACACAAGAGATTAGTGCAAAAACTGGAGGACCAAGCAGGGATAACAGGGAAGGCACTGCAATGGATCAGGGAATACTTGTCAGGAAGACAGCAGCGAGTAATGGTACGTGCTGAGGTGTCAGAGTGGGCACCTGTGACCAGCGGGGTCCCACAGGGGTCAGTCCTAGGACCAGTGCTGTTTCTGGTATTTGTGAACGACATGACGGAAGGAATAAACTCTGAGGTGTCCCTGTTTGCAGATGACGTGAAGTTGATGAGAAGAGTTCAGTCGATCGAAGACCAGGCAGAACTACAAAGGGATCTGGATAGGCTGCAGACCTGGTCCAGCAACTGGCTCCTGGAGTTCAATCCCACCAAGTGCAAAGTCATGAGGATTGGGGAAGGGCAAAGAAGACTGCAGACGGAGTACAGTCTAGGGGGCCAGAGACTACAAACATCACTCAAGGAAAAAGATCTTGGGGTGAGTATCACACCAGGCACATCTCCTGAAGTGCACATCAACCAAATAACTGCTGCAGCATATGGGTGCCTAGCAAACCTCAGAACAGCATTCCGACATCTTAATAAGGAATTGTTCAGGACCCTGTACACTGCACGTTAGGCCCATATTGGAGTATGCGGCACCAGTTTGGGACGCACACCTAGCCAAGCATGTAAAGAAACTAGAGAAAGTGCAAAGGTTTGCAACAAGACTAGTCCCAGAGCTAAGAGGTATGTCCTACGAGGAGAGGTTAAGGGAAATCAACCTGACGACACTGGAGGACAGGAGAGATAGGGGGGACATGATAACGACTTACAAAATACTGAGAGGAATTGACAAGGTGGACAAAGACAGGATGTTCCAGAGACTGGACACAGCAACACGGGGACACAGTTGGAAGCTGAAGACACAGATGAATCAAAGGGATGTTAGGAAGTATTTCTTCAGCCACAGAGTAGTCAGGAAGTGGAATAGTTTGGGAAGTGATGTAGTGGAGGCAGGATCCATACATAGCTTTAAGCAGAGGTATGATAAAGCTCATGGTTCAGGGAGAGTGACCTAGTAGCGACCGGTGAAGAGGGGGGGCCAGGAGCTTGGACTCGACCCCTGCAACCTCAACTAGGTGAGTACACACACACACACACACACACACACACACACACACACACACACACACACACACACACACACACACACACACACACACACACACACACACACACACACATTCACACATTCACACATTCACACACTCACACACTCACACACTCACACTCACTCTGCTGTCTTAATCATTCATTTTGTATATACATTGCCCTCCAGGTCATCTGTACCATTCTTTAACTGCCTAGGTCAGCTTTATCATTCTTAAACTGCTTTTCTGGTCAACTATATTTTTTTTTATCTAACTACCTATCAGGTCAGTTATATCATTATCTAACTGGCTAGCAGGTGAACTGTCATTCTATAACTGCCTAGCAGGTTATCTATATCATTTTGTAACTGCCTAGTAGGTCAGCTATTATATCTTTCTATAACTGCCTAGCAGGTCAGCTATGTCATTCTATAACTGCCTAGCAGGTCAACTATATCATTTTATAACTGCCTAGCAGGTCAATTATATCATTTTATAACTGCCTAGCAGGTCAACTAGTATATCTTTCTCTAACTGCCTAGAAGATCAGTTATACTTTTATCATTCTCTAATGCATGCTCCCCAAGATTAGTTTTAGATTAATGCTGGTGAGGAGCTCTTATCCAGGAACTAGATTTGTCCTCCCTGTCCTTGGGTCACATAAAAGTAAGTCACTGTCTGATTTTTTTTTTTTTGGGGGGGGGGGGGGCGGCAGGGGTTATCCTAGGTAATTTACAGTTACAGACTGTTAGCACTAACTTTCCTCATTATAAAAATCTTAGAAAGGGATCTAAGAAATAAGATCGGCAACCACTTCAGTACCCATCAGTTTTGGATACACAACCTCCTCAAAAAGACCCCTGGACACTGGTGTACCACAGGGAAGCGTTCTTGGCCCTGTCCTCTTTCTTTTATACATCAGTGACTTCCAAGCATATATCACAACAACTTACACTTATTCTCTTTGCTGACGACACGACTTTTGTCATCTCCCACCCTTATCTAGCCTCACTCAATACTATTGTTAATGAAGGGCTCACTAAAATAGCAACCTGGATGACTGTCAATAAACTTACACTTAATATAGATGAAACCTTTTACATTATGTTTGGGAGTAGAGCAAGTGAAGTCCAACTAAACATTATGCTTAACAACATTCTTATTGCTAAACATAATGATGAAAAATTCTTGGGTCTACACCTTGACAGCAACCTGAAATTCAGCTCCCATATCCAACACACAACAAAAGAAGTATCTAAAACGGTTGGCATCCTCTCAAACAAACAGCACTACGTACTTACACTATACTGTTCACTGATCTACCCCTACTTCACCTATGCTATTTATGCCTAGGGTTCCACAACGACAAATTACCTAAAGCCAATAGTAACCCAACAAAAAGCTGCAGGGTAGGGGTCAACCTAGATAAGATAAGATTTTGTTTGGATTTTTAACCCTGGAGGGTTAGCCACCCAGGATAACCCAAGAAAGTCAGTGCATCATCGAGGACTGTCTAACTTATTTCCATTGGGGTCCTTAATCTTGTCCCCAAGGATGCGACCCACACCACATCTTTCAATTTGCTGCAGAAAACAATATGAAGTTCAATGATGAGAAATTTCAATTACTCTGATATGGTAAACATGAGGAAATTAAAACTTCATCGGAGTACAAAACAAATTTCAGCCACAAAGTAGAGCGAAAAACTAGCGTCAAAGACCTGGGAGTGATCATGTAGGAGGATCTCACCTTCAAGGACCATAACATTGTATTAATCGCATCTGCTAGAAAAATGACAGGATGAATAATGAGAACCTTCAAAACTAGGGA